AATGCAACATGCAATTAGTGTACGATTCCCTTATTTTGCGTTGCCAAGCCTGTATTGGTGGTAATGGTGGTATTTTTGAACATTTGATTTAATTTTTTTTTATATTTTTATATTATGTAATAAAGTTAAAAATTTATCACATGCAAATACTTTGAAGTCTAATATCTCGGAAACAAAGCCCTATCTCCAAAAATTTTATTTTACATTTTTTATCAAGAATATAAAACTGTATAAATTTCTTAATTTTTCGCCTCGAGTTTTGAATCACCCTGTATATTGGCAGTGAACCCAGGCATTTTTATTTTAATAACCAGACATTTATTGCCATCGTTATACATAATTTGAGTAGTTAAATAAAAATTATTGCGCTACCGCATAGCATAGCATAGCACTATAAATTTTTAATGAACGAAGAAGGCAATCCGCTGCTTTTCGTTCAATAAAAATTTTACACTGGTTTACAGAAAAAATGTACATTCGATGCCAATAAACAAAATTTTAAGCTTTTTACATTAAATGATCCAAATGACTTCCATTATTTTGTATTCTCCAATTCCCTTTAAACATTTTTTTCTACTCCCACCTTTAAAACGCCCTTTATCGTACATGATTCCATGACACTAAGTGACCTTTTAAATACACATTGACAAGTTGTGGCTTTATGGCGCTTTAGTCACGGGCTGAAGTTAGCAACAGGTTTTTAGTCACGGGCTGAAGTTAGTTTTAAGTTAGTTGACAGTCAAATGTTATACAATCGTTAAAATAAAGTGCCTTTCTTGTAAAATAGTACTAAATGTGAAAATTATTTTATTATCTCAATACAAAAATACAAAAGTATTAAATAGTTTCTCAACGCCAATATTTGAAAAGTTTATATGAACATTGTACTGACCTTTTCATTTCGCCGGCAGTAAACTATAACTTAAATTCGGGCACGGACTCCACTGTAAAGTCCTCATAAAACATTTTCTTTACTTTCACTGTGAAAAACTGTCAATTTTCAAGAAATACATTTCGATTTATAACCTTTATAATATGTGTTTATAAAATATAAAAATGTGACATTTGATGGTGACACACAGATTCCCCTATTGTTTCATAGATGGCGCTCTATAATTTTTTTTGATATAAATCATTTTAAGATAATAATAAGTATTTGTCGTAGAAAAAGTATAGTATGCACCTCGTTTATCAAACTTGATACATAATATACTATAAAATGTATTGGTCCTCTTATACCAATTCACTGTTCTGGATAATTGCTTTTTGATTTTCTAGTTCATTTATTATTAGTGGCTGTATTGTTTCATGTAACATATCAAAATAAATTTGAGCATTCAAATTTTTGCAAATAAATACAATCTCCCAAAATTCATGCAAAGGCATTTTCAGGATATTGGGTATAATTTCCTCTGATGACATGAGGATTTTCTCCAATAACGACAATGTTGTTTGTTAACATTTCCATTTAGATAGATAGATAAAAAGATTTTTTTTTAAAAACAGTGGTTATGTGCGTATTTTTTTAAATACCGCTGGATTTTTCTTTGTTTGTTATTTCGAACGAAGTATTTACACAAAAGCCTTTGAATTCGATGTTTAGTTTGTTGTGTGGCTGAAATTTGTAGATTGTTCATTTCAGTTTCAAGCTTTTGCCTATTTCCCTTTAAATTAATCTATGTGTACTCTTACAAGACTTTAAGCAAATAATAGCTAGTAAAAGAGAATGTTTATATATATTTTTGGATCTTTATTTAATAATAATTTCACTGTAATATTGGTAGGCAGTGGACTGTATGAATGTGAGAAATAGGGGTTGGTGGTGTTAGCTAAAAAAGTCCTACCTCCCTACACGCAGGGCCCTGGTTCTGGCAGTTAAGCTATTAGCGATGGTTTCAAGCGGGTGCGATGCACAAAGCGGGATAAAGCGGTCAAATAGTTAATATAATAAATAATATTAAACATTTCGCAAAGACAAAACAAATATTGAAGTAAAAAAAGATATTTAAATTAATTTTTTTGAAGTTAACAAAACTCTTATCAATTTAAAAAAAAATAGAGCAAAACATGGTAACATAACGTTTGCATTGGCGTATATTCAAGAAGATAGAGATCGGTCATTTGTCAGGGGTTGGAAAATAAGCCAATAGGAAAACTCGCACGAACACAAGGCTATTAGTCGAGCTTCTGCAGTAGTATCTCTTCGAACAAACATTCATAATACGGTGTCGCTCGATGATTTCCCATTTCCCATTCCATCTATTGTCACTGTTTTGCCACCAAGGCCTACTTCCTCTATTCTGCAGTTCGCAACTGAAATGAACAATCCACAATTTTCAGCTAGTAGCTTTTGTGGGAATGCTTCTTTTAAAATAACCGTCATCAATATTTTTTAAGCCCCTCTAATCACACAGTGATATAGTATATTGTATTTTATGGGTAAATATTTTATGTTGACAAATAGTTTTAAATAGTTTCTGTTTGACACGTGTACTTTTTCAACCAAATAATTTGTAAAACATTAACAAAATAATCTGTAACCTTAGAAATTAAAAAAATGCTTACGAAATTCCATATTACCTTTACAAATCAACAAAGGTAGAGAAAGAAAAAAAATTATATTAATATTAATAAAGTAATTGCTGGCCTTATAATTTACTTGTTTGTGTCATGATAATCAAGTAATTGTTTGTTAAGGCATACTTAGTGAATTAAGACAAATTGCTGTTAAATAAATTTAAAATGAACCCGGTAGCGTGCCAGTGTTTCTTTTTATATAAATTACACTGCAATCAAATTGAGTGTCTTGCATTTATTTACAAGGACTGAGATTAAAATCTGTTTAAAAATGCCAACTTTTAATTAAGAAATTTCAATTATCTATAATTACCTAACGCCCTGTACACAAACTTAATTTTGTCATTTAAATTCAACACCCAAATAAAGTTATTACAAAATTTCGTTAAAATATTTCCATCACAAATTTAAATAAAATTACGTTTGCTATTGTTACAGTGTGTAAATGGCAAAAGTATAAACTAATTTCCCGACATACTATTGAATTAGTTGACATGCTGACAGAATATAAATTACTCGCCATCCCATAACATTATTTTATTCATAAAGTAAAAAATAAATTTTAAATAAAATAAATATTAACTTATATTATATAAAGAATCCAAATAACAATAATCCACTTATTTTTGTGAAAACTAATTCTCGCTCAAGGTTTTTTTTAGTGTAATGAGCAAGTAGCATTTTAATGTAATGGGAACTTAAATTATGACAACCCTAATCTATAAATTTTTTCCTAAAATGCAGGCTTTATGTTGCAAATGTCACATAAGTTACCGGTCACCAACTGCAATATCCTAACATTGATGAATATTTTAACAAAATGGCTGTTGAAACAACTAATGTTAGTGCTTGATTAACTGAAAATAGACTTAATTAAGATTGACGAAAAATTCTTTTATCCGAAATCGGCAGTAAAGTAGAACTTTACTGCCGATTTATTTTAATTTACGATTCTTGACTACTTTACTGCCGATTTCGGATAAAATAATTTTTTGTCAATCTTAAGTCTATTTTTAGTTAATCAAGCAATAACATTAGTTGTTTGAACGGCCATTTTGTTGAAATATTCATCGATGTTAGGATATTGCAGTTGGTGACCGGTAACTTATGTGACATTTGCAACATAAAGCCTGCATTTTAGGAAAAAATTAATAGATTAGGGTTGTCATAATTTAAGTTCCCATTACCTTGAAATGCTACATGCTTATTACACTAAAAAAAACCTTGAGCGAGAATTAGTTTTCACAAAAATAAGTGGATACAGCATCGGAACAAGTTATATGAGAATTGACCTAAAATAAATTAAATTTATTATTTTTTAATTAAATATTTAATTAAATTTAAAATCAAGTTGTTTTCTTCAGTTTTATATAGCTTTAAACGGCTAAAATAAGAAAGAAATATGACATGGCAATTTATCTTTATTTTTATCATTTATTACCAAAGGGTAGATAAATCCAAGATAAGAATGTTTTGAGCTTTTAAGTCCAGTTTATTTATAGATACGGATAGAATTTAATGTAGGGTTTAATTTATATTGAGATGTAGCCCAAGTTTTATTTTTGGTTGTTTGACTGTTAGTCTGGAATGGGGTTTTTAGGAAGCCACCAGGTCTAGTAATTACATAACATAAGTGGTTCTGCACTAATGCAAGAATTTTAAGAAATCATACATTTTGAATATTAGAGCTTCACGGAGGTTAGGATTTCGTATATATTTTTTAAAACATCCCTTTGTATATTTGAAATAAGTTATTCTTTTGACACCTTAAAATATAATATAATAATTTTTAAATAGCAAATTAATGAACTTAAACTTTCGAATTATAAATAGCAACACTCTCATCTGCATATAAATTCTAACTGACCTTCAGGAATCACATGCATCTATAAAGTCTTAAACAGAGGTTTTTGCTTATTTAAAATGATTAAAGCGCCATCCGTTGCATAAAATTTAAAGCACAAACAGATTCACGGAGGATAGAATCCATTTTTGTAACACCTACATAAATGGTTATAAAAATTATTTTAACTTTTAATAATATTTTATATTTGATTTGATTGCTTTGAATGTGTTTAATTTACTTAATGAACTAAACAGTCACGGAGGATAGGTTTTAGACTTTTAAAACATTGTAAAAAATAATGAATTGCGGTTAAAAATCTGGAACCTGAGCTGTAATATCTACTTACTTAATTATGAAAGATCAAAACACAGTAAAAGTGTAGGTCAAACTCATTTAGTTTTATTAAATTCGTGAGATTCACCCATATATCAAATGTTACAATAAATTCTACTCAGGACAGGTTTTAGATTATTTAGTAAATAATGGGCTATTAAAATAAGTAGTTTCAACGGGAGAAATATCTTTTACTAGGAAATCGTTTATTGTCGCACTAAATGACGTATTTTTGTTGTTACAGGATAATGGACGGGAGGCTTTGGATCTCACAGCATCTCCGTTGCGAGCACCCACAGCTCCAAATAATAGAACACAGCACCCACCGCCAATGGTCATACAGGGGGACTTCAGAAAGGTAACTAAAACGATAATAAAATTTAGTCCGATTGCGACATCTTAATTTTAGTTATTGTTAACTTGTAAACGGTTAAGTATACAGAAAAAAGTAATTTACATTTTTTGTAGAAAATTTAGTCTACTACAAAAAAGGTTATATAAGTAGATTCTCTAAAATGGATATTTTAAGAGATATATGAATTTCCACTTTATTTGGTGTTATTGTCAAAAATGGCGAATGCGCCGGGATTAATAATAGATAAAATAGCATTTATTCTGCCGAATTGGCTATTAAAATTTTACCGAAACGAACAAAATAAACAATTTATATAAAGTCTGCTTTACGTTGTACATTTAATAAACTGTCATAGATAACGTATTGATAAATATAGCATGTCGGCGACATTAAAAAGCAATAAAATACTGCTACTGATCCGGTCTCTGTAACTCAATTTTACGTAATACGCTTTTAATTGGAAAATAAATTGAATGTGGGGGATTATTTTTGGGCCATTGTGTTTTTCATGCAAAACAAATTTGGGTTGTTTTGTTTCATAACACAAACAAAATTTAGTTATAAAGATGTTAATTATGCGGGTACTTTCAAGAATGTTCTTTTTCTTTTAATGGTGGTTGGTAATTTAAAAGACTGTTCTTGTTCTGGCTTCGTTGGAGGTGTTAATAAAAATCGTCAATTACAGAGTGTCGGCAAAGTAGGGGCCATCAATACCCTTAATGGGCTTCGGTAATTAATTACTTTCCACGGTCCCAAATACCGTAAATGGATTGGATACTGTTAACAAAAGATTTAAACCTAAATTTTAAGTAAAAATAAAATAAAATAAGTAAATTCATCATAAATTAAAAAGGAAAGCAATTGGTAATTATATTTTAAATTAAAACAAAGGAATGCCTTAAAAAGAAATCGCTTGTTAGATTGTAAAAGATTTTTTGTCTAAACAAAGGATTTTTCTCGTAGGTAATATTCTTTTGATAAGAAATACCCTTTAGGGAATTTAACGTTTTGATGGATCCAATTTTCTACTTCTTCTTGATGATTTAAACGGTTTTATCCTCAAGATTTTACTTAGTGCTTCAAATGACCATGTTTTTTATTGCCCATAAAAATGTCAAAATAAAAATGCTTTTTAACGTGGTTTTTGCTTGAACTAAATATATTTAAAAACCAAGAAGCTACAGAGTTATTTTATTTAATAGGTATTCTCTTAAAACGAAATAGTCAAAAATTACTAATTGTCATAGCAAAAAGCAGCCACTAATAATTCCAGTCAACATCAATTTGTATCTAGGACATTTAGCAGTCAATTTATATGTAAAATTGTCCTCTAAAACCGACTATTTCCCTCGTCTTAATTTCCACCAATCACAAACGCGCAATTTTGAATTAAAAATGGTTTCTAGGTGAAAAAACTGTGTGACAGCACCTGTCAGCAGTTTATTCGAGTTTACCCGCGGCAAAACTTGACAGCTGTTGTCACCAAAAATTGCAATTTATATTTTAATTGTTAACTGTTACTCATGAAATAGTCTTGTCAAATACCATTCGGGCATCTAATTTTTCCTGTGAAAAAAATCGAAAAAACACAATGCTAAGTAATATTTTTTAACAAAATGCATTCGTGCAGGTGCAAAAATCCTCCTCTTCGACTCGGATTTTTGTTGCCACCAGCACTCATGCTTTTTGTTAAAATATTACTTAGCAACGTGTTTTTTCGATTCTTTTCGGAAAAATTAAATGCCCTTATGATATTACTTACGAAAATATCGTCAAAAAGGGAATTTTCCAAAATTTGGTTTAATAGATTGTTTATAATAAAATTAAGAATACGATTATTTTATAAAATCTTTCTTAACATTTAACAGGCAAGAATAAGATCTGCTTGTTTAAAGAAAGATTAAAATATATAGTTTAATGTTAATTTATATTTCAGGTGTCTGGAATCAGCAGTGAAATATTCAAACAGATAGAAACAGTAGAAAATGACCACGACGCTTCCACAGCTGCGGCGCTGGAGGTGAGTTAAAAAGACGAAAACTTTTCGAAATAAGTAGGAACGACAACGAACAAATTTGATTTAATTAAAACGGGTGCCCGTATTATACCTTCCCCATTATCCGGCTGTGTTCCAAATTAGTTTGAGCTGGAATTTCTAGCCACTTAATTAAATTTTACGCTGCTGGTAAGAATGTTTCCAGCCGGTCTTTTTACCGGAGCTCGTCTGATACGATTAAAAAGTCCTAAAAATATTTAAATGAATTAAATTTTGCTTCCTTAATTATCGAGTTTTTCAGTTAAATATTTTCATCAATAGTTTTTGAATGAAACTTTCAATTCAAATCTCATATAACAACCAGAAATTATAATCTATAACGACTTGGTGCTAAGTTGCAAGGTATTTATTCTCTAAACTCGCGGTATCCGGGACCAACGGAGCATGCCGACAGCGCAATTCTTCTATAACCGCTTTAATAACGTAGTAACTCACTCCCTAGACGCCATTACTTTCTTTAATTCATGAGAAATACGACACTCGGCGTATCGTAATCTTTGTTCAATCTGAGGGACTTAATAATGGGTTTTATAGTTGGTTGGCGAAATGTGATCCCAACGAAATTTGTAGCTTCATCTTTTTACTTTATTGTGTTTATTTAGTAGTGGGACCAGAACTGGCGTATTCAACGTGGTATAGCCGTTGCCATATGCCATATTGAAATAAATCATTTTGGGATTAAACAGGGGCAAGTATTTCTTGAGAGACCCTCGAGTCGAGTAAGCGATAATTTATGCATTGTAAAACTGCAGCAAGAAGATTTAAAGGCATTTGTGCGGCTAAATGCGCATCTAAAGCCACGTACTTGAATATTTATTCCACGCAATCTTTCAAGTGAGCCCGACACTTATACAAAAATTCCAGATTATCTTTGGAACACTGACGGCATAAATAAAGGATGAAAAGCTGTCGCAGGGCTCTCGCTATTTCCAGGCGAATGTGAACGTTTTTTTAGAAACTCTTTTATCTTTTCTCGGTTATTGTATATATTACTACAAAGAGGCACTCGCCTGATGATATTTTAAGGGCGATTCAAGGGAGCAAATAAAACTAAAAGAAAAGAACGAAGGTCGTAAATTAATTTTTCAAGTTTTCATTTGTTGATTGTTCATTGTTCATTGAAAGGGCGTTGCTTTCCACCTTTTACATAGAGAAGAGACCTTCATTGTTACGGTTACCCTAATTGTTGTTGGAAAATTACTTTATCACTTTAAAACACACTAAAGTATATTTATAGTTACTGCGTGGATGTTGTTTTAACAGGAATTTCATCTCAACTCACCCTGACATACTGGAAAACGTTGGTTGTAGAATGGGAAATTTTATAAACTAGAGTAAAACCTTAAAAAGTGATTATCGAGCACAAACAAACCGAATACAAATACAAAAGTGCTCTTTTAGTTCCACCCTTACTTCTTAAGAAGTCCCATAAGCCAAATGAATGGCTTGTGCGGGTTAGGGGTAGGAACGGACCGCGGGCTTAAAGTCCCCTCCGAAGGACTATTACACAATAGGACAAACACAACAAGAACAATTCTGTTTTCAGCACGTGGAACGTCGGGGTGAGATGATAGTGCGAATCCTGGATCCCAGGCACCTGGGCCGGACTGCCAATGACGCCGCCAAGCGGTTCATGGCCATGCAGGATGCCAAGCACACGGTCCAGTTCGTCGAGATCGTGAAACGACCTGGCCAAACGCTCGGTCTCTACATCAGAGAGGGCAACGGGATCGACAGAAACGACGGCGTCTTCATATCGAGGATTGCTCTGGAATCCGCCGTCTACAACAGCGGATGTCTCAAGGTAAGAATTTTAAGTTCACGTGAGGCAATTTGTACATTAAGACCCTTAGGAAGAAAACATTATTTAATTCTATTTACAGGATTACTTGTAGTTAATAGAACATGGTCTTGGTAACAGTCGGATATTAATTACAGAACGTTTCTTTGTACACACTCTGAATGGGAAGCCTATAAGTGGTGAAACAGCTATTAAGTGACAAAAGACCTTATCGCTTACTTCAAAGGTTTAACAAACTTTAACGGATTAATCTTCTTTGTGAATGTTCTCCACATGAAACATTGCTGTGACAAATAAATATTTGTTCTGTACTTTACATATGCCAGTTTTATTTTTAACCAATTCATCATTTTGGATGTACGACTCCTATTTGTAAAACTTGGCACAAAGTTTTGTTTTAAATTGAACTTCTCCGGAAATATTGTAAAACAAATTTATCTAATGCGATTTTCAAGTCTTCTGTCTAAAAATATATATTCTTTATTCACATCATATAAATTTGATCGATGGCTTCTAATAGCTATAATATAATATAAAAATATGGTAATTATTTTGTAATCTCTTTTATTGATTAAGGATTAGCTTCTAATGGTAGTTGAAACGATGCATTGTTAATATGTATTTAATATTTATTATAATATACATGCAGGAGTATAATGGTTATTGTTCTATTTGTATCGTAAATATAAAACGATGATTATCTTTCGACAAATTAGTTTTGTAAAGACGCTACATCAGCTCCAGCAGGCAATGAAGTTAACCAAACGCTACTTTATATCTAAATACCTACCTTTACTGCCATTTCATTATCTAACATCTCATAGAAAAAATGGTAGCTGGTAGCAATATCAAATTTTTTCCACAGGTTGGCGATGAAATTTTGGCCGTCAACCTGGTGGACGTGACCAGGATGAGCCTGGACGACGTCGTCATAATCATGTCGATCCCGCGACGCTTGGTGCTGGCGACGCGACAAAGGAAGGGCAGCAAGGGCCAGGGCTCGCCGAACGTGCAACCCAGGGCTGAACATAAACCCCCGCCCGTCGTGGTCATCAAGCGCGACCTCAGGGAGGACGAGACCGACGAAACGGACCTTGGAGAGCACCGGTAAGTTATGTCTTACGGTGGGAATTTCTCAAACAGACCGGCAAATGGCGATGAAGGTATATCGAGAGAGTAACACGACGACATCGATCAATATTATTTGATTAGCAGCTATCTACGCGTGTTAGGCGAACGTAATTCCCTACGAAATCATATTTCGGGTTAATTGAACAATTATCGTGATGAGTTGTTTGTACCATGATTTCATGGAAATCAGCAATGTTTGATTAAACTTTATTAATATAGAAGCTTTTAATTAAAATTTGTCATTATCGCTAAACATGCGAAATATGTAGTTGGTCTGATACTATACTGCCGAAAATGTTTAATCGTTGAGACAAATGTTTCTAAGCTATAGCTGTATAAAGTAAGGCCGCTATTGTTACTCAGAGCTTCAACATACCCGCGGCTTAATACAAAGAGACGCCATGCTACTACACTGATTCAGACGGGATCAGACATATCAACTTACCATAGTTTAGGTTAACAATGTACATTTCTTACATCATTCTTCAGAGAGTCGATGAGGCAGCGTCACACTGGCGACGGGCGCGAGATGAGCGAGTCTCGCTCGCGCCTCGGCCTCGGCCTGTCGACCTTGGACTCGAGGCACGGACCCGGGCAACCGCCCGAGGCCACCAACGGCCTGGACCTGTACTACAACAGCCGGCCGCCCGAGCAGGGGTGGGGCTACCAGCCGCCGCCGCCTGTCATCACCGAGCAGCCCAAGTCGAGCATGCAGCACTTCCAGCCGTACGAGCGAAGCTACCCGAACACGCTCGAAAGCCTGGCCGAGAAGGTGCACTCGTTCGGGCTCACTCGGAGGATGTCCGCCGGCGGACAACCAGTTCCCACTAGGTAAGCACATTTATGTTATCCAAAACATTATTTATTTCTGAATACACAAGTTTTTCCATATGAACAGCTGTATCTAAGTCCTGGATGATTTTTTATTTGAATGTAAATTCTTCTGATTTTGAAAAACTATATGTATGTAGCAAATTAATTGACATAAAAATTGTATTGGTTTTGAGGATGGTATTAAAGCAAAACATCTTTTGATCTTTGGTGAGACGCTGTGAATATCAGGACTGCAGTAGTCATATAATAATTGCTACTGCAGTCCTGATACTATAAAGCAAGGAAAATGTATTCTCGGAATTCGTGGTGGTCAAATTTTCCCCCATTTGTCGATGTAAACGGGCTGTAACGCTTTAATTAAGCCAGATTTCGCGGTTTCCCAGTTAGTGCGAACAAATCCAGACATGTTAAACTCGCGGAAAGTAACGAGAACGAAACGATACGAAACTTTTGCAATTATATCGTCTGAAAAATAATTAATCTGTGCTTCAGACGTAAATTTCTGTAGCCTCGTACGTACGCGGAAGTAAAAATGTGGAGTTTTATCTAGTTAGTTGGCTTAAAAGTTTGCGTCGTGATAACAAATTTTCAACCCGAAGTTAGTTTTGCCCGCATTAAAATTTATTTGATGGTTATTTAACGGAATATTACCGAGAGGATAAATGAAAAATTTAATTAAATTACAATGTTTAACTGCGTATTTAATCTTTTATTAATATAAATCCAGGTGGAGTAAAAATGAGTTTTGGAGCTTTAAAGGTGAAGTCAAGTTCAACGTACATTCAATGTCGTACAATGCGCAGTTTTTCATATATATATATATATATATATATATATATATATAAACAAACATTTTACGTTTATTGTTTGTCCAAAATCGTTTTCTAAGTGTATTACATGGGATTAAGTTTCGCGTGATCAATAAGAACTTTTAACACATCCATAATGATATTATCTGGATTTGTAATTCAATACAAGGTGCCTTTCAAAGTATACAAGACTTTTTTTAAAACAGCGCTATCTATTGATCGCTTACTAGTTAAGAAGTATTAAACAATAAGTAAGCTATGAATTTTATGCTATCATGGCAACACAAATTAAAAAATGCGTTATTCTTTGGAAGAACATATGAATGGGCTTGAAAACTTGTATAAACAGTATTTTTTATTTTTATTTTATCCAAAATATTATTAATTTCTAAATACACAAATTGTTCCATATGTACAGCTATATGCAAATCCTGGATGATTCTTTTATTTGGATGTAAATTCTTCCACATCACATCCTAAATTCTTTGATATATCATTATCATATTGTTTAAACTCTTTCCTATAGAAAAATAATCGTTGTTTTTTAGACTGTCCACTCAGCAAAGTCCCTCGTCGCATTACTATGTCCAGCACACCAGCACGGGAAGTCGCCGCATCATGCCGCGTTCCGGCTCGGATCAGCACCTTCCGCAAACCGAATACTCGGATTACACCAGCATCACGCAGGCCGGTCGACACAGCCTGCTTAGATCCAGCCTGAAATCCGGATCGACGCTCAGCAGGTACAACCAGAGATTCGTGGATCAAGCTGCAGTGGCCGCGCAGCTTGCGCAAAGCAAGTACGGCGCTGCGGGGCAGTACGGTGCCAGCACCACCATGAGGAGGAACAGGGGCAGTCTGGATTACTCCAGCGACACGGAGGCCACGGTCGGGTCCAGAAGCGGATACTACTATTACAGGTTAATTTTGTGCCTTTCACGGATCGTTTAATCTAAGTAGTTTTGTTTCCTTACAGAAATCAAGGAAGCGGCCAATCTTCAGTTCCTCACAGCACAATACCGACAATGGGACGTCAAGGTACCATGGCTTCCACTGATATGACGACCAAATTCAATTCGCTTCCGCGAGATACGAGAGGCGGCACAAGGTGAGCAAATAGAACCTAATTTCAAGTAGTCAAGTAACTTTGGAGGATGGGGAACGCAAAATAACATTCCCCCAAGAAATAACAACTCAATACATCTCACCCTGTATAACTAGCATAGATATCAACAGGGCATTTTTTACGTGTCTGAAATTCATCGCTTTTTCATCCCGCGATCCTAAGAGCATCGATTACCGCCCCAGGCAGCTAAACATAAAAATTTCAAACACGCAACCGGCTGCGTATCCTGCTCGATAAAGCAACCGCCAGGGATTATAATAAGGGGAACGGATGTGTGGGTAGAAAGGAGCAGGTGGGAAGATGCGCCGGAATTAACTTTTCCTGAGGTTTTAGTGCATTAGGGGTGTTAAATATGACCCCGACTTACAAGAAGTCTTAAAATATTGATGGTAAAATGAGGGTTATCCCGGAAATACCGTCCCGATAAAGAATGTGAGTGTGATGGATCTCAAACGTTGTTTTATCCAGGATTTTGCTCTCAACTCACTCTGAAATTGCCAACATCATTTTCTACATCAAACTTTTTTTAAATCATTGAATTTGCTAAAATTAACACGTCAATATCTCGTATGAGTTTAAAACAACGTAATTAGCAAGTTCATGTGTTTATTACAGATTGGCGATGGGTAAAAGATTCGGCGATAGAAACGTGCAACTACTGCAGCAGCAAGACGAGTCCGACGGGGCTCTTTCGGCTCCAGAAATGCCGTCGATTCGTAGAGATAGAGGTAAGTGCAAGTCAAAACACACTGCACCACACCGTTACGGTTTAAACGACATATCATAAACTCTTTTATGTACATTTAACTCAGATCCACAATCTAACCATTTATGTAGCTTGAGCTATACACCGTGACATAAACTTTTACCACTAAGCTTGGCACCTCTCACAACTCCTAAAACTAAATCTAAACATGTATTTAAAATTAACAAGCAAAAACGTGATGCACACGCTGATTTGCGAACATGCATACGACAGTTGTTTGCGAGGTTCAAAGTGCACTAAATGCGATTAAAAGTGACTTCCTAAATGCGTCCACTTAACTTCTTGTTCAACAATTCCCGCCACGCCACCCTTGTTTTATAACCCTTGCGTTTAATTGGGCTATTTTTGATTGAGTGCTTTCGGATTATGCTTTTGGCCCTCGATGTATTTTACTCTGCGAAATAATTATTCACCGAATTCAGTTCATTTATTCGATCATGTTCCATTTTGTAGATGATAGAATGATTATGATTGTTTAAGTAGAAGTCATTACACACATTAACACATACGCACACTGTACACAATTATAGCGAAAAAAAGAGGAAGGTTTCCGACAAGTACTGTGTTCACTTCAGATGAGTACCGGCAGTGGTTGAGCAGGACACCTTCGACTTCCGCCATCTATGAGCAGATAAGGGCGTCCAGGGACGTGTTGAATCAGCAGCGGGCTGCCAGATTCACCTACAGTGCCGAAAATATACACGATGCCTTGAAAAATGTAAGAATTTGCATTATAAATAGAATGGTACTTATCTTTCTACATGTTTTATGTGTGAATTTAGATCGAGGGAGGCTACTACAGTGCGTATGGTCGTCCTGGGACTACTTCTACTTTAGATAGAAACTTCATGAGATCTCAGCAGCCCTCTTTACCGGCTCGTTCATTATCAACCCAACATATCACCTCATCATCAACAGGTTTCCACTGCCCTTGAACGTATAATAATACAGTACAATCTAATGTATGATTATTGCAGCTTTAAGTAGTACTAGATCCCCTTCCATGCGCCGCATGCGGCAGCTTTTGGACTTGGACTCGGTGCGAACCGGCGCCCCAAGTCCCGTTCCCACCCCCAGCGGCACCCTGCCCAGAGGTCAAAGACAGTTGGACATTAACCCCGCGGAGTTTCTAAAGTACAAGATAGACAAGCCGGGTGCTTCCATTACCGGCTTGTCGCAGCTGGCCGGGGGAGGTGGACCTTTGTCCGCCGCCGACGAACCGGTCAGCGGCATGTTGTGGGTGCACCTGTTGGCAGGTCGAGGCTTGAGACCTTCGACGGGAACCTCAGCGGCTACCACGCCGGTGACACCCAGCGGAACGTCGCCAAGCATAAGCGGATCGACTGGGTTAAGAGATCTCTACTGCGTCCTGGAATGCGATAGAGTGCATAAAGCTAGAACAGTGGTAAGTGGTCAAGCAGTTACTAAGCAATTCTTGTTTTATTTATCGATATTTGTGGCTTTAGGTGCGAACAGGCGACTTAGTTTTCGACTGGGACGAGACCTTCGAGTTGGATCTTGTCAACAACAAGGAGTTGGACCTTTTGATTTACTCGTGGGATCCGCAGTATCGACATAAGTTATGTTACAAAGGATCGGTTTATTTGCCCACCTTACTTAAGTCCGGGCCCATTCATCAGCTTGCTTTAAAGATTGAGCCTAGAGGTAAACAATATGAAACATACTTGGAGAATATTTGTTTACTATATAATATGTTTTAGGTACTTTATACATGAGAATTAGACACACGGATTCTTCGGCTCTTTATAGAAGGAGGACGATATCCACGTTGACCCTGACAAGAACAACGCCACTATTTGGTGTTGATTTAGAGTCGGTGGTGAACCGGGAAGGTAAAACCGGGGGAGTACCGGGAGGAGTTGCTACCGGAATTGTAGCAAGTGCCCACCACAACATTCCCATCATCGTTAGACGATGCGTTGAGGAAGTGGAAAGAAGAGGTTTAGACATAATAGGCTTGTATAGACTGTGCGGCTCGGCCACAAAGAAGCGAATCCTTCGCGAAGCGTTCGAACGAAACAGCCGTTCGGTGGACTTGAGTCCGGACAACGTGCCGGACATCAACGTGATAACGGGCGTTCTGAAGGACTACCTCAGGGAGTTACCCGAACCCCTCTTCACGAAATGTCTCTACCAGATGATGGTGGACGCGCTGGGAGTCTGCTTGCCCGACGATCCCGAGGGCAACGCCAAACTCATGTTCTCCATATTGGATTGTCTGCCCAGAATAAACAGGGTAAGCAAGTTTAGAATAAAAAGTATTGAACCTTCACCTCACAGATACCAATAAGGCCTAAAGGAATCTAGAATTAGCCCCAGCGGGCTAAACATTAAGGTTAACATTCAATTTTCTTAGTTTCTTTAATAAACTTTCTTGACCCATTACTGGTAATATTCATAAGAAAGAATTGAACAATTCTTGCTCCGTCGCTGCGTGACATAAGGATAAAGCATAAACACACTTTTGCATTTATAATAGTATTAGGATAACATTCCTAATTAATTCGTACTACAAGCAGATAATTCATTCTTGTTTTAATGAGGGTAGTAATAATACAGTTGATGTTGGCATTTATATTTTAAATGTACATTTAAATTGAACAATTTACCAGAAAACTTTGGTTTTAAATAAACAGATTTAGACTGGGAACGTTAAAATGAAACTGTTTAAGAAATATTCAATTGCATAATAACATTATTAAAACATTTGAAATTGTTCAAATTAAATGGCCCTGCAGGGCATGGATATTCGGATAACCTAAAAGCATAGGATTTGATTTTTGTCTAAAAACACAGTTTTTTTAACAGATAGTATCTGGAAGTACCCAGATACTTTTGGGAAATTATATCGGTATCTATACCCAGATACATCAGCCAGAGAGTATCTGTATCTATACCTAGAAGCTGAAAAAAATTTATCGGTTACAAATTGTAAGTTGTCTTGGAAAAAAAATCATATCCCCAGAACCTATCCATAAAAAATGTAAATTTCGCTGCTGACTATTTCTCTATTGATCTTTTTCGTCCGAAGGCAACTCTGATCTTCCTGATGGACCACTTGGCCTTGGTGGTGTCCGCATCGGATCGAAACAAGATGTCGGCATTGAACCTGGCGACTGCATTAGCGCCGCCTCTGATGCTGCAATCGACGGAAATCGCTACGCCAACGTCGATGATGAAACCGCACGAGCTCGACTACCAGCAACCAATCAACGTGCTCAAGTATCTGCTGCAAATATGGCCAACGCCGAAACACGCCGGGCCCACCCACACCTCAGGTAATGTACTGTAGACACAAATCTACTTTGAGCTTTTGCTAAATTGCTGTACAAATTACTATTAGTTCAACAGTAAAATCCTGATTACACTTAGTATATCAGTATTTTTCTCATTTGTCACCTTAATCCAAAAAATGATCCACAACAGTTAATTTGGTATAGTACTTAGACCACAAAATTAGTTATAGGTAGATTTTTATTAACAATAAGGCAGTTACATGTTGAAACATAAACCTCACATTATTTTATGTTTAAACATCCATAAACTGATTATTTAATAAAACACCCCACAGCACATCAACTACTTTATCAACCCTTGCCATTAAAACCCACACTGAACCACGCATACCATAGATAAGTACCCAAGTAGAAATCAATAAATGAAATAAATCGTTTGCACGCCAAACACGTTTTATTTCGTTTATTATTGTTCGAAAAACACCTCTACACACACGCACACATAACTTCAGAGTTACTCCATTTCAAATCATCAAATCGGTGAAACAGCTTCATCCTAAGTTTTGATAAATTGTGGAGACCACTTAATAGAACCTCATCATAAAGAAGTCTTATGTGATCATAATGACAACCCAAAATGTCAGAGCAGGTTTCTTTTAGTCTAAAACTGTATACTTGATAAAAAAAACTTTTTCTTGATTTGTTGTGGATGAACTCGTCGCCACTCACTGTTACCACACGCAGAGTAGTTAGTTGGGAGGGTTGTTGGGGAGAGCTAGAGTTAGATAGTGCTGGCGTGTCGATGTGTGGGGGTGTTGTTGGTATTTAGAGGGGGCCTTTCCAGACAGGTCGTCGCGGCAGGCCAGCCGGGCCGCGTGGAGACAGTCGCAGTGCGTTGCCAGCGGCGGGGGGCCAGCGCGAGCCGTCTCGGCTCTCAGCGGCTCCGTTTCCTCCTCCTCCTCGCTCAGCAGTCTCGGGCCCGCGCGGCCCACTGCCACCGGTCCCATCACACCAGATACTAGTAAGTACACCAAACACATTTTTTTCCCTCTTGTCGCCGAAACGCATTCCCGCGGGCTCCCAGCAAGAACTTGGCCACCAAGACAATAAGATTTGTCCTCCCTTGCTCCAAAACTGAATACGAGTCATGCTGTCAGCATTTTGACAAAACAATGATTATATGTATAATATATGAATAATACAGAGTTTCAGCAAGTAAAGGTCGAAACAATCAACAAGTTCTTGATGGGACGCCCTTTACAAGAACTTGCATAACCTGAGAGTTTTGTTTGGCATTACAAGTATATCTGGAGCTTTGTTTCTAAAAACAAAACTTTGGATAAATAAAAACTTTCATAGCCTGTTTAATCAGGGTAAGAAGAACATTAAGTAAATCCGCAAAACAGCATTTTAGATGAAAACATGCATAATGAAGTAACTTTTAATGAAGCTTCTATTCATAAACTTACAACTACATCATAATAGTTTGCGAATGCAGTGATCGTCATTAAAAGTTATGATAGTAAAAGATGAATTATAAATTATTTGAGAAGCTTTATATAGCTTACGTAGTTTATACATACAAAGTAAACCGGTATCTTCAGTTTCCAAAAGGTTCGTTATAGATTGTGTAGGTATAAAATGTGGTTAGCTCAACATTCATTGTCCTTAGAGTTTATTGAATATAAAGTAGAAATGATTCAATTTGCAATACGAGGGTAGATCAATAAGAAAAGATGACATTACCTTCGAATACTGATGAATCAATGTGGTACTTATTGGTTCGCCCTCGTGTGATGTTTGGTCGGTCTATTGGATGTTCGTTTAAGTGTTGCGGTTGTGTGTTGAAGGGCCCATCATCAGTAAGCAAAGGTCCCTACCGTCCACTCTCACCACGAGTCGCCCCGCCAGCGGCACCGGGCTCATCATCCACCAGCAGCAGCGCAGCTTTGCGGCCCCGACAGGTGATAGTGTCTTCGCCAGGTTCGCCAAGCAGCAGTAGCGGCGATTCCCAGTCAGGTTCCGACTCCGTTAAACACTGCCTGCCCGGCCGCGTATCGTCGCCCGCCATCCGCGCCTCCCCATCCTCCCAGGCGATGCTGCGCTCCTCCCCGTCGGTCACGATCAGTTCTCCGGGCATCAGGAGCAGTCCTTCGGCCACGGCCGGTCTGCACAGCACCTCGTCTCCCGGTCCCAGGAACTCGCCGTCGGTCACCAGTTTAAGTCGCGCCTCTCCATCGGTCATGGTGTCGAGATCCGGCTCTCCGGCCATGCAGGGCAGCTCAGCCGGCATGAATGTCACTTTGGGTCAAACTTCCGCATCCTATTCGACGGCTTCTTACTCGACTTCCTACTCAACGCCATCATATTCCTCAACGTCGTATTCTACACCATCATACTCCACCACAACTTCATACTCTACGATGTCTTATTCGACTCCATCATCTTACTCGACGTCGTCGTCTTATTCAGCACCTTCCTACTCGACTCTTTCCAATCTGCAAAGCACAATATCCAACATCAATACGACAGCCAACAATATTTACGGCATAAACTACACCCAACCAACAACGTACGCCAGCACCAACCCATTCTTAACTGGAGCCTACATGACCTACACAACGGATGACAACAACAAGTACAACACCATTGGATCCACCAAGGAAGTGAAGAGCTTCTTCGAGAACTACGCTTCCGACAAGTATTCATCGGACAAGTTCGCCGACAGCAAATACTCATCCGACGCCAAATACTCGAAAACTTACGACCCGGACTACTCGTCCGACAAGTACAACACCATCGGCAGCAAGTACCCGGAGAAGACGAGCTACTTGAGCACCACGTACTCCACCGACTTGAAGTACAGCCCGGCCAAGTCCTACGACCGGAGCCCGAACGTGACCCAGAGCGCCGGCTCGGCGACGCTGGGCGTCGAGGACACCCCGACGCCCACGTCGAGCATCGAGACGGAGGACAGCAACACCAGGGAGGTGGGCGAGAAGGACGTGGAAGGGGACGGCGAGCAAAGCGACTGAATTCAGCGGTTCGGGCACAAATCTCATTTCCAGGAATTTATTATCATCACGTGGTTCACTGTATAAATCACGCTAGAGTTTACACTAGAATCACCGTTTCTATTGGGATAAGTCTTTATGTAACGATTCTGTCGAAGTTCAAAATGACTGATGCATGTTTAACTTTGCGAAAAGTTAGGCAACATATCGTTTTATAATTTTTGTGGCATGAATCGTCATTCAAAGATCACACAGGCCGGCAACATGAAGTTTTCTGTTTGCTGCCAACAACTTTTAGGGGCGTGTTGCTGAATCAGCTCTTGTGTTTGCGATGTTTTCAATAACTGTTTTTATACTTAAACCTTTAAATTCGAATATATATTTGTTTAAATCATATACTTTTACCAAGGATCATTGATAATCTAGCTAAGGGTCCTAAACAAACAAATCGGCATATGGCAACGGCTATACCACGTTGAATACGCCAGTTCTAGTCCCACGTGGTTGTTTGGCTAATTTAAATGCTTTGAAATTTTAACACAATAAAGTGAATAGATAAAGCTACAAATTCTGCAAATTTCAGTAAAATCGTACCAAAGTTGTCCATGTAACAGCAACTTTTAGAATGTTTATAATTTTTATTGGGAACCATAATATGGTCCTCGATTAAAATGTTAAATTAAAGAAGTATATACGATTTTAAAGTTTACATATAGAAATCAAGGGATAATTTGGAAAAATTACCCCTAACAAGTTGGGCAGCAAATGGTTGCTGACCGGTGTTATCTAAAGGCATATACGAAACTAAATAAGAATCATCTAAATATTAAAGATTATATATATATTATATGTAATTGCTTATTAGAATCAAACTAACTATTTAGGATCATTGTTAACTAATATTTAAATTATATATTATATGATTTTAGTTGGTAGATAAATAAATATTTATTAACAAAATAATAAATAGACGTACTTATTATCTAAATGGAATTTTAGTCAAGTGGTTGTTGCACAATTTTTTTACGTTTCGTGATATTTTCCATGGATGAATACTAAAATTGCCATTTTGGTGAACTAGTCGGTTATTTAATGTATCATTGAGAAATAATTCGCGTAAGGATTCGTTATATAAATCTTTAATAAAAAAGTAATTAAGTAGGTAAGCGTTGTATAAAGGCCTAAGTAAATGTACTTAATAAATTAGAGCAAGAAGATTGTACAAAACCGGCAAACTTTATTCCATGGATTATCACAGATTACTTTGTTTATCATTGTGATATTTACGTTGTTAATTTTTAATTAATTAAATCGGAAACGTCTGCACAAAACAAAAAAAACTGTAAAAACGACACTGCCATTGACTGTATAATGTATTTAGGCAGATTTTCCATCTAACATTAGTAAATTTATACGCCTAGAATCTACACGTGAGATTAATTTATTGTTTGTCCTTTTCGGGTTCATTCGAACCACATCTAAGATGTATATATTAAGATATTTATATGCAATTGTGTGTATTAGAAATGTTTAACTGTTTATTTCAACTGTTGTATATGTACACTGTACAGTTAAGTGTTTGTTTGGAATTGCCATTTTTTGTTATTTTATTAAAGGTTTATTCTGTAAATGGTACTTAGTAACGTTTTTTCGAGGTGATTTAAATTTAACCGTTTTCAAAAATAAATTGCCTCTTCTTTTGTATATATAAACTGTTATGGCAACTGAGTTTTGAAAGGCGTTCCATATTTATATTGCCCGCAAATACAGAAAATGGTTGACAATTTAACTAATGTACATTCAAAATCAAATAAAACCAACCCTTTTATGACTGTGGACCTAACCACCTAACATTAGATAGAACAACAGACAATCACAGTAATGTTTACAAAATAAAGTTAGGAAATGTAAACTTGGCTGAATTGTTAACCAAATCATACTTACAGGATGTTTCTTCCTTAAATATTAACTCATTCATTTTACTGTAAATATTAGATTAACTTATACACGGAACGTCTAGTTTGTAAATGTGCTGGTTTTAAAATAAATAAAATTACGCTAGTCAAGAAAAAATAATGCCGTCAAAAGTAAAAATGTTTTTGAGAAAATTTAATGGTAAATTTAACACATTTCTAAAATAAAGAAAAAAAATTACAAGAGAGCAGAAAAAGTAAAAATGATCAAGTTTTTTGCTGTGTTGTCTGTAATATGAAAAATACACTAAACTCAGGGGCGGATCCACATCCACATTTTGTGACCGAGAAAATTATTAGGTTTGACTAAAAACATAATTTTAAATTTTTACTAAATTTTGAAAATTTCTTCAATTTTATTAATATTGATAATCTTACATTTTGTGGAAATTTTAAAAATTATAGTAAATGGAAAAAATTATGGATATTTTGAAAGTTTTAAAAATTATGGTAAATGGGGAAAAATCTATATTTTAAAAATTTTAAACATTTTGGAAATTTTCAAAATATTAAAAATATTGTAAATTTTAAAAATTATGGTAAATGAGGAAAATAATCGATATTTTGAAAATTTAAACATTTTGGAGATTTTGAAAATTTTAAAAATCTTTTAAACTTTAAAAATTATGGAAAATGTGGAAAATTATGGATATTTTAAAAATTTGAACAATTTTGAACATTTTGGAGTTTTTTTAAATTTGAACAATTTTACATTTTAAAAATTTTAAAAATTATGGTAAATAAGGATAATAACCAATATTTTAAAAATTTAAACAATTTAAAATTTTTGAAGATTTTGAAAATTTTAAAAATCTTGGAAATTTGGAAAACAGGGAAAATTATGAATATTTTAAAAATTATAAAAAAATTAAACATTTTGTAAAATTTGAATATCCTAAAAATCTTGTAAATTTTAAAATATGAATTATGAATATTTTGAAAATTTAAACAATTTTTAACATTTTGGAGATTTTGAAAATTTTAAAAATCTTGTACATTTTGGAAAATTATGGTAAATGGGAAAAATTATGAATATTTTGAAAATTTAAAAAGTTTTAACATTTGGGAGATTTTGAAAATTTTATAATTTTTTTAAAATTATGGTAAATAGCGAAAACTAAGGATATATTAAAAATTTAAACAATTTTAGACATATTTTGAAAATTTAAACCACTTTGAACGATTTGGAGATTTTGAAAATTTGAAAAATCCTAAAATTTTGGAAACGGGGAAAATTATAGATATTTTAAAAATTATAAAAATTTTGATCATTTTGTAAAATTTAAAAATTATAAAAATCTTGGAAAACTTTGGAAAATTACGGTAAATGGGGAAAACTATGGATATATTAAAAATTAAAATTTTAAAAAATCTTGTAAATTTTAAAAATTATAGTAAAAGGGGAAAATTATAGATATTTTGAAAATTTAAACAATAATTGTTTATAAATGTTTAAAATTATTTTAAACATTTTGGAGATTTTAAAAATATATAAAAATCTTAAAAATTTTGAAATTTAAGGAAAACAGGAAAAATTATGGATACTAAAATTTTGGAATTTTTCCAACTATATTTTATCTCTCTCGCATCAAAGTTAAACATATTTTTTCATTGTGAAAAATTTACTACACCTCAAAAACTTTCAACGGACTATTTCACATAATTAGCTGTTGACTGCATAATTTGATTTATTGAAAGGCAGCGTGCTCCTCCATATCTCAAGTATAATTTGCAGTTTTGTATTAATTTGCGGTTGTAGACGACGCAGGTGTTAGGTTTTGATGTTATTGCACACAAAATAAAAAGTAAATAAATAAAAGGACTTGGTCCTTCGCCTAAGTAGACGTGGCTAAAACAATGTATAATATGTTAGAAAGTATGCTATGGAGCGCGATACACTAGTCAATTTTTCTGTTCTGTCAATTTTTAGATCGAGTAGACGAACATTATTATTATGCGATTTATGCACTATATGCTGAAGCGTATGGTGAAGTTTAGTACTTATATTATGTATAAATTATATTTGGGGTTGCAGAATAGTCCAGCTTAAAAAAGTTGTGTAAAGTGTTACATTTATTTAAAATTTACAAAGTTTATTGCGTACAATGAGAGCAACGATATCACGAAATCAATTGGGACTTTTTTAAGCGCGACTATTCGATAGAATAATAAATCAGGTATGTTACAAAAATGAAGAACTATAGGCGGATGCAAGAAGCTGTGTGCACATATCATATAGAATTTATACTTTCCTACATGACTGGGATAAAAAGTGTGTACAATAATAATTATTTAAAACCTCGACCACATACACCCTCATTTAGATGACAAATTATGTTCGTAAAATTGCGGGAATAAGATAAGTTGCTACAGGGTTGTTTTTTGATATACGAGCTTTACTTTTTATATATGTATGTACTGCTACTCACAAACTGAACATAAGGAAACCACAGACTTTTTGATAATCTTTTGGGTATATGTATGTTTATAATAGTGCCCAATATTTTACGAACCATAGACTTCTCTCCTATAGAATATTAAAATTGTTATGTATACATTATATGCGAACGTATTTTCACATAATTATAATTCTTCTATTTCAATAAAAACATTCAATAACTTTCTTTCTTCGATTGTGTGTAACTACATGTTCTTTCATCATTCAAAATTACAATAAAATAAAATGTTTATAAGTTTGTGAAAATACATTTGAAATATTGCAAAAATATAGATGTTAAAAATAAACTATAAATTATCAGTATTTAAGATAGCTTCTCAAATGGCTAGACCCTCCTAATATGTACTTAACAAATAAACGAATAAATCATTCAGTTGAGCAATATTTTGAGTTTTATTTTTACCTGCATATTTTGAAAATTTTAACAATTTTAAACATTTTGGGATTTTAGAAAACGAAAAATTATGGATATTTTGAAAATAATCAAAAATTTACGTTTTCTAAAATTTGTAAATCTTAAAATTTTAAAAATTATGGTTTTGGTATATCGATATTTTAAATATTTAAACAATATTAATCATTTTGGGATATGAAAAATTTTTGGAAAACGGAAAATTATGGATATTTTGAAAATTATCAAAAATTTACGTTTTCTAAAATTTGAAAATCTTAAAATTTTAAAAAATCTTGTAAATTTAAAAAATTATGGTAAATGGGAAAACCTATATTTTGAAAATTTGAAAAATTTTGAACATCTTGTAAATTTTAAAAATTATGGTACCTAAATGGGGAAAATATGGATATTTTAAAAATTTAAACATTTTCGAGATTTTAAAAAGTTTTGGAAAACGGGGAAAATTATGGAAAATTATCAAAAATTTACGTTTTTTAAATTTGAAAATCTTGAAATTTTAAAAAATCTTGTAAATGTTAAAAATTATGGTAAATGGGGAAAACTATATTTTGAAAATTTGAACAATTTTGAACATTTTCGAGAATTTGAAAATTTTAAAAATTATAGTAAATTATCGATATTTTGTTAATTTTAACAATTTTAAACATCTTGTTATTTTTGGAAAACAGGAAAAATTTTAAAAACTCGAAAATTTTAAAATTCTTGTAAATTTGAAAAATTATGGTAAATAGGGAAAAATAAGGATATTTTAAAAATTTGAACAATTTTGAACTTTTTAAAAATTATGGTAAATAAGGAAAAATTATCGATATTTTGAAAATTTCAACAATTATGAACATTTGGAGATTTTAAAAATCTTAAACAATTTTGAACTTTTTAAAAATTATGGTAAATGAGGAAAATTATCGATATTTTGACAATTTATAAACATTGAAATTAAACACATTTTGTAAAATTAGACCACGTTGAATTAATTAACATTAAACACGGTTTGCTAAACTATATATATTTAAATTATAGCAATAGATAAGATGTTAAAAAACTATAAACTATCAAAAGATATCATCTCAAATGGCCCATTTCCCATAGTTAGTTTTTAATATTAAATTAATCAATAAACTAACCTTGTTATTGACTAAGTATATATAATTATTTAGATTATTTAAAAGTATGTGGACTTGATGAATAAAACCAATATCGAATTCAATATCTATAACGTGACATTGCAAAAATGTTGTAATACCAGCATATTTAACACAAAAATTGCAAAATCTGTGAAGGTTTTTAAATAAGTACCTACGCATACCTAATTTCAACATCAAATGAATTGATGATTTCAATTTAATGGAAGAACTATCGCCATAATTATAACTTAAGTACAACGTTTTTATTATATTTGTAAATGTTTAATGTTTAAATGAGTGAAAGTTATTTGCAAAATACTTAAATAAATACATGATTTATATGTATGAATAATAATTGATATGCATATGTCTAAAATAGGATGCTTACATAAAAATTTTAAAATTTTCACATTTGGTTAATTTTCCAGAAAATAACCAATTAATTTACATAACAGCCACATCACATGCAGTAGTGCTATTGACATAGACCTGCCGGTGAAAGTGAGTAAGTATACTACACCAGATCAGGCCAAAGAAATTTAATAATATTGTCGTAGAACGGAAGAACGCGTTATGTAAGCGGGTTTAAGAATGCCTTGTTCCAGTGAAAATTGAAGTAATTTACACTTGAGAGAAACTAAGTAATACATAGTATGTATCAAGAGAATTTCATAGTTTATTATTAATTAAGAATTATATAAGACTTGCACTTAATTAATATATATATTTATATATAAATATATTTTTACTTAAAAAGGGTAAAAACCTTAACTGAAATAAATTCTGTATCTGGAAAACATTTTTTACGTGATATAATCATTGTTGTTTTATTTTAGAAAGCAAGATCAACAATCCAAAACAGAAATACGATTACAACTACACAATTTTAAAACAATTTTATTATTCTTTTACCAACAAAACGCTAATAGCGAAAATTTGCATTTTATTTCGAAACCAGATGAGGAGCCAATGACCACAAACATGAAACATAACAAATAGATTTGCACAAACAAATAAATCTTTCATTATTAAATAGATATTACAGCTCTGGTTCCAGATTTTTAAACGCAATTAATTAATTTTTACAATGTTTTAAAAGTCTAAAACCTATCCTCCGTGACTGTTATTCTTTCTAGGTTAACCTATATGTTTTCAAATATATGAGGTAGTAAAAGCATACTAAAAATATCAGTTCACTAAGTAAATTAAACACATCCAAAGCAATCGAATCAAATATAAAATATTATTAAAAATTAAATGAAATAAATTTTATAACCATTTATGTAGGTGTTACAAAAATTGATTCTATCCTCCGTGAATCTGTTTTTGCTTTAAATTGTATGCAACGGATGGCGCTTTAATCATTTTAAATAAGCAAAAACCTATGTTTACGACATTATAGATGCATGTGATTCCTGAAGGTCTGTTAGAATTTATATGCAGATGAGAGTGTTGCTGTTTTATAATTCAAAAGTTTGTTTATTAATTTTCTGTTTAAAAACCTATCCACCGTGAAGTGTAATATCTCAGTAAGTAGATTTTTTTTATAAATATTTTATGTATGCACAATTGTATTTTTTAAAAATATTAAGGTGTCAAAAGATACAATAACTTATTTCAAATATGCAAAGGGATGTTTTAAAAAAATATACGAAATCCTAACCTCCGTGAAGCTCTAATATTCTTACATTAGAGCAAAACCACTTATGTTAAGTTATTACTAGACCTGGTGGCTTCCCAAAAACCTTATTCTAGACAACAAACAAAATTAAAAAATAATCATTTTCACTTGGGGGACATCTCAATAAAATCCAGGAGGGCATTTTTCGTTTACTTTGATAGTTTTTTGGGGATGTGTAATTATTTTAAATACTATATATTAACGGTTTAATAATTTTTTTGCTCGACACCAAAAGGTGACACTTTAGCGTAATGAAAGTGAAAGCGTTCTCCATTTCCATCCTAAACACTTATTGCCAGTGCTCGGTCACAAATTTCGCTCGATTCAGGCAAACGAAGTGCTGCAGTGAACACGATGTGAGCAGTACGGTCTGCGACACGCTACCAATGTAAATAAATACCTTTTAATTTATTCGTATTTAAATAAAATGTTTGTTAAATGTGCAGTTCTAGTCCTAGTTCTAGTGATAAGTGTTATTGATGGGCAAATGTTTGGGAAAAGATTGCGAAGATTTCCCATGAGGACTGCAATGACCTTGAAGCAACGACTGCAGAACAAAATTTTGCAGTACAGGGAAAGAAATACACAAACTATTTGTTATGGTAAGGTAAAAATAAAATTTAAATATAAAATACAATTTACTTTAAAAAGCAATTAGTATACCTAATATCCTAAAGAGTATTTGCAAATTCTATTTAAAAAATCACTAAACAAATTTATACAAATTAATTAAGATCCTTGACCAACTTGTAAATGAATGTCAACAATTTTAACAAAAGAGCAAATATTGGTAAACTACTATACAGTATGTTCCCGGACAATATTTTTTTATTTTTCACTTTTAAAAATGAAGAATAGTAATAATACACCAATAACCTATTTTTTTAGAAAAAGTTGGATGTTTTGAGCTTCCCCACAGCAGATCCCCCCTTCAAAAAACCCCGGAAAGTCCCAAAGTCATAGACACGAAATTCTTTCTATTTAGAAGGGACATTAACTTCGCAACCCCTCAAATTCTTTATTACGACGACGAGGGTAAATCTTTAAATGGTTCGAAATTCAACCACACGCAAAAATTGAAACTTTTCATACACGGATACATGAGCAACTGGAACGAAAAAGGTCCGGTACTTGGGTCGGAAGCTTTTTTGAAATTGGTAAGTTATGGTATGGTCATTTTGGTTTAAAATATATATCTGAAGCTTAAAAATATATATATCATCATTTGGTATTGTTGTTTTCAGTATGATTGCAACATGATCCTGATGGATTGGAGCAAAGGGGCCAGGGGTCCCCAATATGCAACAGCTGCAGCCAATACCGAGGTAGCTGGTAGACAATTAGGCCTCCTTCTTATACAAATGGTTGAAAAGGGGTTGGATCCTAAAAATATCCATTTACTCGGGTTTTCATTGGGGGCCCATGTGGCGGGTACAGCTTCGGAAATGTTGAAATATAAAGGGCATCTAATCGGAAGAATAACAGGTAGGAGACTTTAGTTAATAAAATATGATATTTTAAACAAACATTAGAAATATTTTTTACTAATTTCTTAAAAATGTCCAAACCTATTCTTTATTCTTCACCAACAAATGTACTTACCGAATTGGATACTTTGGCAAAACATGAAAATGCAACGATTTAGTTCTTGAATTTTATTTACAATTAAAAACACAATAATTCACCGTGATCCCTTAGATAAAATACACACACTAACGTAACTATATAGGCATTTAAGCGTTGAGTTTCTTAATCAATGATATAAAGAATAATCAATCGAAATCGAGTACTAAACCAGTTTTTTAGTTTTTTCCTTGCAACGTAAAACACAAATAACGTGCGCGATTTAGCTGTGCAATTAATCAAAATTTGTCGAGTAAGACTTCTGCCTTCCTCTCTTTTGTGAAAAAACTACCTATTTATTTAAAAATGATGTACAGTTCGTATGATTTAAATGTATTGTTGTATAATATAATAAATATTTGTTTGTTATAGGCCTTGATGCAGCAAGTCCCCTATTCCGAAGCAATCATTTCAGGGAAAAATATAAGAAGTTGGACAGGAGTGATGCTCATTTTGTCGACGTGATTCATACGGATTCCAGTCCGGTAAAACACTAATATAATTTTAAGAGCTGAAAGTCCCGCATATGCCCAATTGTATTCAGATCTGTGTTGCATGAGGGACACTGTATTCTTTAACTGATCCTATTAAACTTTTCAGTCGGTAACAGACGGTTTTGGTTTGTGGGAGCCAATAGGACACGTTGACTTCTTTCCCAATGGCGGACAAGAACAACCTGGGTGCAAAGACACTAAACGTTCAGTGGTTGTTTCCTCACTTGGTAGTTAAATTTACACCACAAAAATTATTTAATTTTAATAATTAACATTTTAGACAAGAGCTTGAACCGAGATATCGCCTGCAGTCACATTAGAGCGTGGCATCTATACGCAGAAACGCTTTTGAACAAAATCAAAAATAAAACCGATTCATGTCAGTTTATTTCGTACTATTGTCCTGGTGGTTTGCCTTCGTTCGAGAAAGGACATTGTTTTCCCCGTTTGGAGAAACGGAATAGCTCCACATTCCTGGATAACACGTATCGAAATGAAGTTGGAGTGTTTGGGGAAGATGTCAAAGGGGAAGGAGTTATGTACTTTAGTACCTCCAGTGCCAGTCCTTTTTGTGGTAAGAATATTTGAACTTGGACAAAGTTGAGTTGTTATTTCAATGTTTTAGGAACTCAGTTACAAGCTTCCGTTCAGTTATCGCAAAATATCGGAAAGGTAAAAGGTGTTTTACAGTTAAAACTGCGGTACTCGAAAAATGTTGCACTATTCCACATCCATTGCGAGTAAGTACAACAACAACAAAAAATCTCAAGTCAAAGTTCTTTATTTCAGCGTTTCTGATGTAATAATGACGGGGTCGCGGATGAATGGATTAGCAGTTGCTCCCCACAACAGCTTGAACGAAAAAGTTGAAAATATCAATGCTTCCTTAATTTATTACACCACTTTTGATAATGCGAACAATAATTCCATTACAAAGCCGTTGTACGTCGACAGAATAGTGGTTACTGATATGTACGAAAACAGGTATTATTACTATATTAACATCATCAAGGAGTGTTATTTTTTATTTTTAGCTGGCGGTACTGTGGCAAAAATACCGTTATAAGTGAAAACAAAGTTCAATTGACACTCTCAAGAACACTGTGTTAATCAACGTATGATTAATACTAGGCAACAATTTTACTTGTGTATTTTAGGAACGATTTTAATGATTAGCCGACTCGTCTGTAGATTTCTTTGAAATACAGTGGATTTTTATGTAGCTGATTATGATGAATATTAAAACGTTTTTGTTTTTGATGATGAGATGAAAAAATTGTGTCTTCTTTGACTATAAAGTGTTTTGTGATATTTATTTTTAAATAAAAAAATAACAAAAACGTTTCTAAATTATTCAATTTTCTTTGACTCCATTAATTAGTCCTTTGGAGGGGACTTTAAGCCCGCGGTCCGTTCCTACCCCTAACCCGCACAAGCCATTCAGTTGGCTTCTGGGACTTCTTAGGAACATTGTATTTTGCAAATATTCAATCCTTGTTGAGATATGCTATCATTTTCTGGGGCCAAAGTACTAACGTTGGAGATATTTTTGTAATACAAAAAAAGGTCTTGCGCACAATGTTGGAACTAGGACACATGGAATCATTTATTTTTATGCTTGTGAACTTGTCTTATTTATGTACAAAAATAAATTTTTATTTCAAGATCTAAAATCTTTAAGCACAAGGCACAATTATTTTTATTACCCTTATCATAGGTTATCAATATACGAAAAAGGCTGTTTTTATGCATGTATAAAAGTATTTAATAGTCTACCTGCTAATATCAAGGAAATTAACAACCTAAATTTCCTTAAGAAGGAATTGTTTAACTATTTTTGTGATCTGGAGCCATACTCCTTTCATGATTTGTTTTCACATTGAAAGTATTTATGTATTTTTTGACTTTTTTCTTTTTTGTACATATTATTGTGTTTTTTCTTGTAATTTAATGTGCAAATTTTTGAAAATAAACGATATTATTATTATTATTATTATAAGGGTGGAACTAAAAGAGCACTTTTGTATATAAACTTTTTTGTATATATATGTAAATATGCCTGCCATCGAAATTGTGTTACAGTATTTTTAAAAGTTCTCTGCTTAGTATTAACTGCGTATTATCTGGTCCACTTGACAATGTATTTACTTGATGTATACAAGGCATTAAAATCTTTGAAATTTATATTTATAATTTTACATTTGACAATTATTGTCAAAAATGGCGAATGCGCCGGGTTTAATTTAATAATTAATTAATTATTTAACAATGAATTATTACATCATTGGTATCTTATTAATATAATTTCTCCTTTTTGTTTTTTTATAAGTCTTGTAATAAAGGAAACTCCCAATATTGTGTTAAAACCACAGACCACCCACCATACAATAGAAAATACAATACAAATTCGCATAAACTAAGAAGAAATAAAAAGTAAAAATTTGGCAAACATTTAAGGACTTTATTTTTATATTTCCATTTAATTTAAATGTAAATAAATATTTATATACTACGGGGGACTTCCAAATTTGTAAATAAGTCATCAGATGTTTTGCTGTAATGCATGGTAATTTTGGTAAGATGAATTAAAAAATTATCACCAATTTGCTCAATCAACTCTTGTCATCGAGATATGTGATGGTAGGCAACTAGTAATACGTTTATGAGGCACCCAGAAAACATTTGGAAATTCACTGATGCACTGTAATAAAAAGAAATTTTCAAGTCCTCGGTAGTATAGTGGTCAGTATCCCCGCCTGTCACGCGGGAGACCGGGGTTCGATTCCCCGCCGGGGAGGATAACTTTTTTTATATTTTTTATATCCCTTAATTTTTTTGTTTCGTAAAAATAAAGATTTCAGGTAAAAACATAAAGTAAATACTGTTTAAGTGTTTTACAGGCCAATAATATTCCAATATAAATCTGCAATCCAAAGTAAAAGAACTGTTAACTGCATTACTTAAAGTAAGTACATAAAATGCCTATAGAAATGGCGCCCGCCACAAAAAGACACTTCTAAGCCTTATGAGTTATAATTATAACTTAAGTTATGACATTAGACCAATCAGGTGAAGTTTTTTACATCCTAGTCTGTAAAAGACCCGTTGGGTACAATCAAAAAATTCGAAAACTGATTAGAGATCTGAGCTATCTAACCGCACTTTCTACTTTTAATAAATGTTATTATAATTTAAGTACGTTTTGTTTACATATAAATGGTGACATAAATAACTATTATCTAGAAGGCACAATTTTATAATATATAACATAAATTAATATTTCCAACGTTGGAATTGCATAGGCAAAAAAAATATTTATTTGTTGATTCAGATAATGTAGGTACTTGTAATATGGGTTGCATACGTTATTAAACTATTCCCGAACAAAATTTTTTACAACAAAATAAAACACATTTTGTATCATAAATTATTTATTATTTCAAGGTATTTATTAACTTCTATATTAAATTAAATCGCTTAAAACTAATATCACAATAAAATAACAATATCTAGTCATCTATTTATAAATACAATTCGCAATTTTATCAGTAGGTAGGAATATTTAAACGAAAATTTTAAATTGAATACACAAAAACTAAATTTCGTATTTAGTTTTCGGTATTCGGAATTTATCAGTCGAATGTTCGAAATTGTGGTTTAATGTGCCATATTGATTAATTTATTTAGTTTTAATGAGCTCAGTCAAATAAAATTCTTTGGTATTTCAATATGTATCTTTGTACACTTGGATGATTAAAAACAGATTTTTTTTTTATCAAGTTTCCTCGAATTGTTGACTTGCAATGAATAAATACAACATAACCAAAGTTTTAATCACGTCCCGGTACTCTCCAGTAAACTAACATCGACAACAACGGAACTCTCTTTCGACGATGAAGCTACGGCAACATCGCCGTTACCTTTATCACGTACTAGATATCTCTCGCTGGCCATGTAATACGAGGGAGGCGCGTCTTCAATATTCCCGCCATTATTCCTCATCAAACTGCTCATGGCTTCCACCGGCACCACGTAAACGTCAAACTCGCTCTTTTCGCCGCCTTTCAGTGTCAAACTTTCGTACGGCGGCGGCGCGAATTGCTCGTACGACGGAGGCGGTACGTCTGGCGCCACCTGGCGGGTGGAGTCCGAACTACTTCGGCAGTTTCTCGAGGCATTACGGCGACAACACCATTCCGAACAGGACACCACGAGAAAGAAGGCTACCAGCCCCCCGAACGAGGCTATGTACCACACTACAGACCAAGATTCCAAAGGAGATTGGGTGTCTGCAATAAAACAGATTCTTAGGGTTTTGTTAATTTTCAAAGCTTGATGTTTTGATGTTTTATAATTTTTATTAATAAAATTAAGAAGTGTTTATAGACATTTTTATATTTATTACATATACGACAGAAAAGCTAGGTGAAACAATAAATTTTAATAAAAACAAAAAGTTCACCGTTACCTTAAACCCTGAAAAATGATTAACGCGGATTTAAATTGACGTGTGCTTGCTTTACATTGCTTAGGTTTCTCATTAGGTAAATCATATAGAATATTATTTGTTTAAAATACAGTAAGGCCGAATGTTACAAAATAATAGGCAATTTTATGAAGGACTTTTTCATATTTTTCATTGAAGTCACTATTTAATTAAAAACTATTGTCAACCAGCACTATAATTACAATATTGTAATTATATACAGTATATGGGTGAATATATTGAGATGTCCCCCAAGTGAAAATGATTATTTGTTATTTTTGGTTCTTTCACTGTTAGTCTAACATAACATAAGTGGTTCTGCACTAATGCAAAAATTTTAAGAAATCATACATTTTAAATTTTAGAGCTTCACGGAGGTTAGGATTTCGTATGTTTTTTTTAGAAACATCCCTTTGTATATTTGAAATAAGTTATTGTATCTTTTGACACCTTCATATTTTTTATAAATACAATTGTACATACATAAAATATTTATAAAAAAAATCTACTTACTAAGATATTGCACTTCACGGTGGATAGCTTTTTAAATAGCCAATTAATAAACTTAAACTTTTGAATTATAAAACAGCAACACTCTCATCTGCATATAAATTCTAACTGACCTTCAGGACTCACATGCATCTATATTATATATATTTTTGCTTATTTAAAATGATTAAAGCGCCATCCGTTGCATACAAAAACAGATTCACGGAGGATAGAATCAATGTTATAAAAATTATTTATTTTAATTTTTAATAATATTGTAAACTGATATTTTTAGTATGCTTTTAGTACCTCATATATTTGAAAACATATAGGTTAACCTAGAAAGAGTAACAGTCACGGAGGATAGGTTTTAGACTTTTAAAACATTGTAAAAAATGATTAATTGCGGTTAAAAATCTGGAACCTGAGCGTAATATCTACTTAATTATAAAAGATCAAAACACAATAAAAGTGTAGGTCAAACTCATTTAGTTTTATTAAATATCACGGGGTAACACCATCGGGGGACATTTCGTGAGATTCACCCATATACATTCTAATATTTATAATGAAAAAAAATAAAAAAGTTTCGATTACCGTCATATTCATTATCATTATCAACATCTCCGTCCTCCTCTGTTTCATAAAGCAAAAATCTGGTATCAGGACCTTCAGTGATTTTGTATTCTTCTATAAGAACTTTATCTCCAATTCGAATAGTTTTTACTATTGTATTTTTGTCTTTCAGTTTCAGATGTAGCTTGGCGTCATCTAAAAAAATAAAACATATGCATTAAGTAAAAATTTATTTTATAAATAGAAATTCATTAATAATAAAAAATTCGGATTTTGGCAGATGATGGAAACAACATTGTAATAACTATTTTTGTCAAGACTTTGACGACATGGTGCAAGTGTTAATTACATATTTTATGTAAAATACTTAAAAAGTTCAAAAACATGTTAAATGATAATAAAACATTTAAAATTTATATTATTTGCGTAAGCCGACAAATTAATTTTCAGGTTTAAAAACACAAATTATGCAAAAAAGCATTAAACATGTTCACAAAGTATTTCATATAAGTATGATATATTTTTATTTCTAAGTAAGATGGCTTTTAATCATTCTGTAATATTAGAATAATACAATAACAAGTAGCATGTTCTTAATAGATGGTTTAGTCGTGATCCATTACGAAGTTGATAAGCTCAATATTTTTTTTTTATTAAAAAAAACTATTTTATAACAACCGCTATTATACTATTATACTATAGTACAGTATGTTGATTATTCGAAATTAAATGCTTTCCAAAGCAATAGTTGATATTGACAGAATATTGCCGTGTTTCTATTGGTTAAAAATCTGTATCGTAATGAAAAATTTCTATCATAATCATTATACAGTAGGAAATTCTAATAAACGGACTTAAGGATGGGCAAAAAAATATTAAGTTATAAAGGACAAAATAGAAAAGATAGGGCTGCACCCTGTATATGCATCGTTACTGAAGAGTAAAACTACATATAAAAAAAAATATTCAAAATCATTAAAACATTTAAATTAAAGGCCATTTTTGCAGGTGAGTGTATATTGCATGTCCTAAACGACCTAAAATAACTTAATGATAAGGTTACCGTTAATTACAGTGATTGGGAATTTGAGTTGTCCATTTTTATAATTAAAAAAATTTGCGTTGTCCTTGTAAATGCCCAAATAAAAATTAAATCTGGCGAATTAAATAGGGTCAATTGATATGATCCTATCTATTGCACAGTTAATTGTTAAAATCTAGATCTAAATACCGTTACAACCATACCGACATAGCTTTGTGAAATTTACATTAAAAATTAAAAAAGTTGCGATAATGCTCATTATAATACTATAGTACTTGGTAAAAATGTTTTGTATTATCAATAGTATGCGGGTATTTGGGACATCTTATTTTTGCTTAACTTAAAGATAAATATTTAATAGTAACGGGTTTTTTGTAGGTCAGTATAATAATACAGGGTTGTCCAAATGGAGAAAGTAGATTGAAAAAATAATCATTATCTGCTTGTCTAGGAACTCCAATTTCGAATAAAACATTATACAGGGTGTCCTGAAAATAGAGCCTAAACTAAATTTTTTTAATCGAACTTTGCTTTTGTTAATTTATGTGTTGGACTATTTATTAATATAACGCGGGTAGTGGAATTAATTTAAAAAATGGTAGGACAAAATCGCACAGTGAAATAAATATAAAAATAGTGGGACAAATTCGCACAGACTAAAAAATTCATTTGTACTAACAAATGAATTTTTTTTAAATATATTAAAAAAAAATTAAATATTTCAGTTTTCGAAAAAAATATTTTTACAGAAAATGACTGAGCTACATTATTTTTACAGAATGGGAGATAATCGAATACTTTGGCATGACATAAATAACTATTTTTTTTAAATTAAACGATGTTGTAAATTTAAAATGCCAAGAAATCGTGAAAATATGTAGAAAACAAAAACAAACAAAATTATAAAGACAATATTGTATATCGGCCTTCAATTGTTGTATACATGCATTATTTATACATATTAAGATCAGTGCATTAATTTATTGCAAAAAAACAACCGATTAAGAACATTTTAAAAACAAATTAATTAAATTTTTAGACTTAAAGTATTTATTGTTTTAAAAAACAAAGATTTATGTTGTATAATGTTTAATTTTAAATAAATATATATGTACATTACAATTTTTGTTTTTAATTCAATTAATTTAGACATAAATATTATTTTTGATAACCAGAAAACCTGTTAATATTTTATTTAGTCAAGTAGGTTTAAGTCTGGCAACCTTGGATGCCATAAAAAAACATTATACAGTTTATAAGTGGTATGTTTGACGTTATAGTTTTTTAACTATCAATAAAAAAATTGTTAATTACCCAAAACACACTTAACAAGTAAATTGCATTAGATATTCCAATAACAGTCGGTTTCATTCAATCTCTATTTACATCATAAAAAGATAGTGGTGTGTGGTGGTAATGAAATTTGTATTTATATATATTTTGTCAACAAAATTTCATGATTTTTTAATTTAAATTCATTAGCTCTAAAACAAAAATTATAGAGGAAACCCTGTCTTGTTTTGTCGTGTACTATAGCAGGGGAGACATAAGTAATAAACAAATTATATAAAATTACTTAATTTAATTCTGCCAAAAGAAGTTCGATTGTTTACTAGGCATAGCTGTGTGGCTATTTTTAGAATGTAATTACTAATAATAACTAATTAGTAATAAACAATATGATTTAAATGAATAAAACATGCATATCTTAGTAGTACTGTCAGTAGTAATCATTGTAAATAAAAAAGAAGTGATCTATATATAGATTAATTTAAATATAAAAGTGATATATAATTCTTATGGCTTCTTTTTAGTTAGTAGCATAATAATTATGTTAATTTTTCAAAATGCCATCTTTGACATCATAATAAAAAATATAGTAACTTGACTCTAAATAAATTAAGTGTAAATTAGCACATGCTTATAGGTTTTCACACCAGAAGAATTTACATGAAATCTAGGTTAATATATATTTGTTATATAAAAAACCTATTTTATACAACTTAATTGAAGCCTTTTTTATAATATCGTTAGGATCGATCTGGCCAAATCATTTCAAACTAAATTATACAAATAAAAGTTTAACTGGTTGTGATGAAAATTAATTGGCGTAAGGATTTATTGTTATTTTTTTAAATGGAATGTCTAAGGTTAGTAAATCCAATTTTAAGCATTTCAGTTGTGTAATAGCGTATAATATAAAAATAAAATGCAATTTATATTAAGATTTATGTTGTCTGGGTCAGTTTATAAAAAGTGGTTTAGTTTGTTTCATTTTTTCTATGCAATATTCCAATATAAAAAGAAACGGGTTGAGAATTTTTCGAGGTCTCGAAAAAAATTTACATTTGAATAGACGAAGGCCTAATTTTAATTATAGGCCTACAAATTAATAACTATTTGACCTACAGATTAATTTTAAGATACAAAACAAATAAATTAACAATGTTTTAAGGTAACAGGAAATGAATTATATTAGTAATAAAATTCAATTTTCCACTTTTTTAATTAACATTTTATTATTTTTAAATCAACAAGTTTTTGGAATAATCAAATTAATTCCAATAACATATAAATCAAGCCTTGTCTTGTTTACTGGCAATTTTTCGATTTCTTGTGTATTTGTTAAACTTGTACAGGTTTAAAATCTATTTATAAACGGACTTTCTCCAATTAACCATTTCTAGGTTGAATCATTTAAAATAAAACACAAACTTAAACTTTATTAACAAATTTGACCATTTATTCATAATAATTATTATTGTTTTAATAACCAAAAGCAGTTTTTTTGTGTAAATTATTATAAGTGATAATTATTTATTTATTCAGGGTATTACCCGATTAATATCCGCTTTACTTCCGTTTTTTTAAGGAAAAAATGTGAGGTCATTTCAACATTAAACCGAATTATATAATTTAATAATAATAATACTAGTAATAACAAAATATTTATTTTTAATTTGTATAAAAATGTTTAATCATAATATTTAATTAAGGTATGTATAGTATTATTTTTTTATTCTTATAAAAATATACAGGGTGTGCCAGGTGCTAGGTGTAGCAGAATTTCAGCATGTAGAAAGTTATTTTCAAGCAAGTTGAATGATTTTTCTTTATTTAAAAGGGTAAGTATTTTTATTTTCTATTGACGTTTAAATTGGAGCTACAAAGTTACAAATATTCACAAAAAAAAATGGAGCTTATTGTAAAACATACACCATATTTACATTTTTTTATAAATGTGAAAAGAAAAATAAAAAAAATGATAAGCCTATCTTAATAGAACATGTTTTTATAAGATTATAGGTCAAAATATATGTTAATCATCACGTACACATTTGTTTATTTATATATGGACATAAACAAAGAAATTTTAAAACATATAAACAAAAAAATATCAAAGAAAAAAATACCTACCTATTTATAAAGTATATAAACCTTTTATTATTTACTTTGCTCCACACCCAAAGATTAGAATAAAAATAATTTTGGTTGTCAGTTTAAAGCAAATTTTGTACTACTTTTTGAAAATAACTTTTTTTATGTTTATGTATAGGTATATTGTTTTCAAAAATTAAGGTAAAGATGCACAAAAAATATTGCATAATTTTCAGAAAATAAGAGAAAATTAGGGTTAAACTAATTATTTGTATTCAAATGTATGTATTTCAAATATATATTTCGCTCATGCACTTTCAGTGTAAAATGGCGAAATTTTGCTGAAATTACAGTCATTAAACTAAATATAAGAAATTTGCTAGTCGATTTTGCATAATTTTTTATCGATAACACTTTCCAATTAACACTTTTTGCAATAAAAATAATGATTAAAAATATATAATTAATTGATTGACACGGTCAACATGTTTATTTCACATGGAGCGTACGATATGAATGCACAATTCTTTTAATAAATATAAATTATTTTTTTTACAAGACCACAAAAAACTAAAGTTTTTTATTATTAATTTGCCGAGTGGAGACATAAAATTTAATGGGTTCTAGGCACGAATTAAATTAAATGTGCGACATTTATAGCAAGTATAAAAAAATACCAAAAAAAGTCAATTAACGTTAAGTAAACAAAAAACATCACTAATTTATTCAGCTGGTTGTATTTATAAAAACAATGCATTTGACGTATAAAAATCTTAAAATTTGTTGCAAAATTATTTTTTATTGCAAAAATGCACCGGGGGTAAAACATAAAATTGGACATACATATTTAATAGAATTAACTAATAATAATATGGAATACGTAAATAAACAGTACTTAGTCCATTAAAATTTAATATACATAATATGCATGTATATTATTTTATACATATATGTACATATTTTTCAATGTTTATAAAATATTAGTTATCAATACAAATACTACTAATAATTATTGTAAGATAAGGTGAACGATTATTTTAAAATAAAATGGTTTCATACAATAATAATATTTTAATGTGGTAAACGAAAATGTCAAATATTTTGTTTTCCATTTTAACCTTTAAAACATATGTACGTTTCGACATTAAGTGATCTTTTAAATACACATTGGCAAAAATTTAAATTTATTAGTAATAAATTATTTTTTTTAAATCATAAAGACTCTCATTTTTATTAAAAACTCGCTCGCAAGCTTCGCTCGTGCCTTCTTAAAATTCGTTTATCAAACTTGACATTTTGACATTGGACCTTTTCCAAAAATTCCCAAAACACAGGAAATCCCCAGAATCTGGGAATAAAAATATTTTATTTTTCGATTTTTTTGTTAATATTTATTATTTTTGTAACAATTTTTTTTATTTTTGTCAAAAGAAATTTTTTTTGGTTTTTAATATTTGCTTTAGAAAATTTCTTTTTTAATTTTTGAAAATTGCCACCAGCATTACCAAAGTATTTTATTTTATTAAGTCGATATAATATATCTATTAAGTTAAATGGATTTTTAAATTTCACCTTAAAAACTTCATTTTATGTTTCAATCTATTACAGGTTTTATCATGTAAAATTCTGAAATTCTGGGAAAATATTTAATCAGCGTAATATTTTATAAACTTTAGAATCTTCCTGCAATATCACGAAAGTTTATTTTAGGAAATTATTAAAATCAATATAAAATAAATAACAGTAAAAAATCCTGGAATATCTATATCAACGCTGTTCTTTTAATAAAATCAGGTTTATAGTTTAAAAAATCATTTCTCAGAGAAATATGTATAATATACATTGTATAAGTATACCTAGTGGAAGTTTTTTTTTAGTAGTTGGCAGTAAAAATCATAGAATTTGTATTTTATTGTCATCTTTTTACCATTTGTTATTATCAAAACTGTGGGTAAAAGGCATAAGGGGATCAGTAGAGACTTAAACGTATTGGCATTAATTCAGGAAATATATTTATGGTTAGCGGGTATACAATTTTGTTAGCACATATCATATCCTAACAAAAGCGTATACCCGCTAAACATAAATATATTTCCTGAATTAATACGAACACGTTAAAAGCTGTATTGAAAAATTGCTTTTTTTGACTTATCCCCTTATGCCTTTTACCCACAGAAAAATTACTTTTGACGTGACCTAACTTTGTTAAAGTAGACCTGGTTTGCCATTTAATAAATCTGTATAAATTTGAAATGTGAAATTTTAAAAAATATGAGAAACCATAAAAAAATCAATTAAACTTAATTTAACTGTACTATAAATTATTTAAATTAATATTTACACAATTTTACTATGTTGTTTTTGAATCAGTGCCAAAACCAAAATATAACACATGCATCCAAAAATATTTATTTATTAAATGTATTAATATTAAGGCAATAAAAAAATCATAAAAAACTTACCGGTGCGATAGGCATAGAGACAGCTTAAATTTAAAACAAAAATTATCACAACCATAAACTCTCCCACAAGAATAGTTCTTCCGCCCATTTTACTTAACAAATAAACACAATAAAAATCAAAAAATTTGTGGCACAGATACCGCTCGTCGAATAAAATTCGCAAAGCACGCTATGGAATGGCACAGGCCTACTACGCGGTCCGCGAGTTCTACGATCACTCGAGCGGGAATGGCCTAATGCTTTTAAACGATAATGCTGCTGGTACGGTACACAGTCAATGCGCTTCTGATTTACTCGCTCGCCTGCTATGCGCTCTTTTATTTTATTTTTTAAATCTTTGTCCACGTGAAACCGGAAAACTACACGTGAACCATGGTTTCTCGGTTTGTTTTGTCGAAATTAAGACAAAAATACATCATATACAATAAATTATATTCTTTCTATTCTATTATTTTCAGAAAAAACAACAGATAGATAACCTCCTTGACAAAGCTAGTTAGCATGTAAGCGTATTCTTTTTAAAAAAAATTGCCGTAGTATATAAAATATTGCTTTGGTTTAGAATAATATTTTTGGTATATTTTCATGCAAATAAAAGCAGAAAAATTTCCATTTCAAATGTATTACATTTTAAATACATTGGTTTGTACAGTTTGGAGTGGAAAGTTTTTTTAATTTTAGGGATTAAATTGCATTAAATTTTGCGTCATGTTTGACAATAAAATTTTTGCTAGTCATATTTGGGTTTTTATTTAACAATAATAATAAAATAAAATAAAATAAAAAATAGTAACTTTGTCATTATTTCTTACTTTTTTAAACAATTTTAATCCATCAGCTACGTAACTAAGTTTTACGTTTTCATTTGCACAGAAATTTGCTTTAAGAATTTTTTTAAAATGTAATTCTTCATTTAACAATTTGCTTAAGTCTTGTTGTACTACCTAACATAATAATATTATTATATAAAATTCAGTAGATTTAGTATACAAATCAGTAGATCACTACAGAAAAAATTAGTGACAAGCGAATTAATACAAATAAATCGTAATAAATGCAACGTGGTCTAATCGAATCAGGCGTACCAACGTGTTTGCTGTGTGAAAATAGTTTTGAATAAATTACCACAGTAATTTTTAAATTGTTACTTATTAATTCAGAATCTTGTTTTAACTTTTCAATATAACGTGTTATGTTCATTGACTGGTTTATCTCAAGATAGATAATATACATACATATTATGATGACTTGTTTATCATTTGCCTTATTCAAAACTGTATTTCTAGTAATATTATAAACGTAAGTAATTTTGCAGTTTGCAGGTAAAGCAATTATTATTATGACGTAATTGATACGTAAATAATATATAAAAATCCCAGATTATACGATTAACTAAATTAACTAAAGCGTTTTTAAAGTATCTTGAATATTTACATAAGATAAATATGCCCTGGTGTAACCAATTTAAACTTAATTAAATGTTTTCAAAATATTACTCATTTTTTTCCAAGAACTCTGTATTCAGTGTTTTCAATAAAATTACTATAAAATAATATTTTATTAATTTTTAAAACAAGGTAAATTTTTTTAAAACCCTTTTTTACAGTCTGCAATTTTTCTTGCAGCATATAATAAAATTTGGGTTGTTTTTCTTAAAGAAACACAATCCAAATTTTATTATATGCTGCAAGAAAAATTGCAGACTGTAAAAATAGGTTTTAAAAAAATTTAGCTTGTTTTAAAAATTAATAAAATAATATTTTATAGTAATTTTATTAAAACTTTCTTCCAATTATTCAAGATGCAAGAAGAAATGGTAAAATTTATTATTTGTTGGGTTGGTCAAGTTTAACATGCAATGAAATATCTGACCTCATCTAGGATTAAACTTGTTTCATGCATAATAATACCTACATATTATGTTTATTAATAGATTCCCACAAATAAGATAAGATTTTAATCTTATAATCCCATTAACAGTATAGCAGTACACTGTTTTGGTTCTATTATCTAAATTTTTAAAATTAAATATGTACCACGTGTTAGGTGAATAACAACTATTTTTTTTATTGGTAAAAATATTTTATTTCGTTATTTTAATCATAAAATTATTTATTTACCATGTTCTTCACTCTATATTATTCTATAATTAACTTTATTAAATAGAACATAAAATACAATTATTGAAAAATCACAGAACATTAAACATTGAATTTGACAAAATAAAGCATAATTTTTATTTATTTTTAGTATTAAGTATTAGGTAATAATTTCACTCAAAGGTTGTAGAGAGAATTTTAGAATTAAAAAAAATGTGTTAGCAACAATCCTTTGCACATAAAATAAATAAAAAGCAATATTTAAAACAGATAATAATAAAATTAAGTATTAGTTAGTATAGTTGATTCCATACATGGAATATTTTGGGAATAAACTTAATATGTCAATAACTCAAAATATCTTCAGCTTATGAATATTATAAAAATGTATTATCTTTAATTTGAGCATATGCTGAACTGTACTGAAATCTATAATTATTTTTGTCCATATTTCCTTTTTTTTTTTATAATACATTTAGTCATAATATGTTATGACTATATTTTTTGGTTTCTCTTATATAAATGTGGTACTAAAAATATTTTTTTTGACCCTGTATTTAAATGTACAGTATAGTCAATTAAAATCTAACTAACATTGCATTTACCTCTTAAAATCAGTCTCAAAAAAATATATATGATTTTTGTAAAATCCTTCAAATATTTTTGGCTATGAAATTGAATTAAACAAAAAATAAAAAATAAAAATTCAACACTCACAAAACATTTTCTTTCTTAGCAATTTTAACTTCTCCCTATTACTTTTTTCGCGATACTAGGCCTGATTATTTGACTTGTTCGACCTTAGCCTGTCTAAACCTGACCGTTCTTCTTCTTCATCGCTAGTGTACGAACTCATACCAGAAACTGGGGGCTTAGACGATGTGGCCTGCATTAATTCTTGATCTGGGGCATTTCTGCTCTCATACAGTAAAATGTTTAGTGTTTCCTCGTATATTCTTGCCTCGGGGCATTCAACTTTAGTATGTTTTTTGTCTGTGGCATATACTATAGACGTACAACACACCTAAAAATAATCAAAATAATGATTTGAAGTCACAAAGTAAAAACTTACTTCTGAAACTTTTTTGCCATGCCCATAAAAAACCCAGCAGCAAATTTCACTGGTGCTGATAACATCCTTCAAAAACAGCACCCTTTTGTTGTACCACAGGGATAATTTATCAAATAACTCAATGTTCTTTAACAGATTATCGTCGGAAGTTGTTGTGTAGGAATACTTATTATTATGCCTATTTATCAGTAATTTTATGGCAGGTTTTGTTGTGGAACCAATCAACATTTCTTCCTCTTTTTGCGACGTTATTAGAGGTACACCACAAATAGGTTCATGTTCCCCACGTTCTTTCTTGAACAAGACTTTATTACACGATTCTGCAAGTTCAGCTATGCAATAATACTTTGATTCTGCTAGTAGTTCCGCTATTTCTTTGCTTGTTTCCGGTAGAGAAACGCTGCCGTCTCTTAGAAAGTTTAAAATTGTGCCGAAATGTTTTCCACATCTGTCAATCAAAATCCAACCTAAAAAGTAAGGTTAGGTACGGAAATTTTCGTAAATTTTGGTTTATTACCGTCTGAATCGGATAGGACCTCCATCCGGCCGCTAAACATTGCACGCAGCATCGTATCATGTTTAGTTAAAGTGCCAATTGTGGTGTAATGCAAACATCCCCCAATATTTAACTTGACGTATTGCGAAGGGTTACCCTTAATGGTGGTTTTTCCAGACATTTCCGAGTCTGTACAAAACATTCAACCTAATTTACACCTTAAAACTAGCAAGAACCCGATAAAATGTTTCCCAATTTCACGAAAAACTGTCAAACTCAAGCGGTTACCATTTTGTTTGGAAGCTGTCAAATACGGGACATTTGAACTACTCCAATGTTGGCAACACTACTTTTTCTAATCAGAGATAAAGAAGGTTCTAATCTTTGGTTGGCAACGCCGTCGTTGCCATAGCAACCGAGATACAAATTTCGAAAATGTCCGATTTGTTGTCGAATTACGGGATTTATTTCGACGAGGTCGATAAAGTTTGCATTTTAGAGCCGGAGGTTGCCAAACAGACCAACAACTTAAAGGAGGAGTGTCAGATTTATACGGAAAGTAAGTAAAATGTTTCACCAGAGTGAAAAATAACCTACCACTCAGTTACTGCAATGTGCATATGTATAGATATTTTTTTCAAGTAAAGTAAAATTACACATATCCTGTCTTTGAAATAAATTTCCAACATTATTTTAAGTAAAAGTCAAGTTGGCTTAAGAGCAGTTAACCAATCACAAGTATCCTCCAAAACTGTTGAATAACTTTGAACCAATAGCAAACTGGCATAGCCAACTGTTCACTTTAAATTTTTGTTTAGAAATCAACGAATTTCACAGAATATCAAACAAATTTGTGGACATGGTGGAAAATTTGAACAAATTAGTGGAAAAGGAGAAAATTACGGCGATTGGGACGAGAAACATCCTGCAAAGTATGGAAAAACAAAAGGAAACTCATCAGCAGCAATTACAAGTAAAAAACAGTTTACTTTATTAATTAAAAATAATTTTACCGTTTTCAGGCATTGATAGCCGAAAAATCTATGGAATTAGAGCGACTTAAAATCCAGTTGAGCTCACTGCTGAAAACTGAAATGGAACAAAATGAAATAATAAACCAGTTGACTCGCTATTAAAAAAAAGTCTATTATTAAATACTTTATTACACAACAGTTTTTGTTTTTCAGTAAAAATAACCTAAAAATTATTATGAATGCAGAGAAATAAAAACAAGTGTGATGGTTTTATAACTTTTCTAATAATCGACGAAAAATAGATATTTATCTTGAGTATAAACATTAACACAATTAAATCATGGTTATACAGGGTGATTCTTAAGTCGGCGTTTTTAACATAAAAAATATTTGTAATATTTCAAGGTTATGTAACTTTTTTTATTTTATTTGGCATTTTTCGTATTTGGGAATTTTTGTATTTAAATGTTTTAATTATGGAATTGTAGTTGTTGAAATTTACGGCGTAACATTCTATAGAAATTAATTTCTATTGGGAGTGATTAACCAATCAGAATATTCGGCCAGCAACGCACGCTAGATGCGATGGAGAATGCCGTACTTTGATTGGTTAATCACTAAAGCGCTTTTTATAGAATTTCATTATTAACGATGGAGTTTTGATTTATTTTATTAAAACACAAAACCGAATCAACCAAATTAAATTTTCATTTATTTTAATTATGAAAATTTACAAAAAATGTTGTTAAAATAAATTTGAAAAAAATTAAATTTACTAAATTTATTAAAAAAAATTTATCAAATTTATCAAAATTTTCAAAATTCACACAAAACCGAATCACCCTTTATTAATATGTTACACAACACCACAGTGTATAACTAAAGGCACCTCTTGCTATGGTGTAAATAGTTGCTGAAAAAATCCGCACTTCATGCATATACATATGTTTTAAAGTATAAAAATAGGGTTCACGTCATAACATTTGACATAATAATCAACTGGAATACAAAAAAAAAACAAAAGCGGTGTCCCGCCGATAGGTAATAATAAAACAAATTAAAAAATAAATTACACGAAAATTTTGACTCACTGAATATAAAAATTTGTTGTTTTTCACTGTACACCTCCTCCATATTCTAGTCTCTCCTTAAACGGTCGCATGCGCAAAAGTTGCTTTGCGCAATTCGGCAACGCTGTGCCGACAGTGTTGCCGAAAAGGTAAAAAAAAAAAAACATTTGCGCACGCGCGGCCTGATTATTATTTATGCAAGTAGAAAAATAAGACGAGAAGTTGAATTAACAACGGGGAATTCACGAGGCGGTGGATTCGACTTTCTGCTCAGTCTTTTGCCGCTTGGACGCCTCCGGTTCGGGACTGGCGGGGCGCTTTAAGATGTTGGATTTGAATTGGACGATGATGCAGGTCATGTTGTCGCATCCGGTTCCGTCGCCCATGGTGTTCGGCGCCAAGCAGTGGTCGAACATCTGAAAGAAAAATTGCGTGCTTCGGAATTTTGTCTTTCGAGAATGGTTCCCCGTTTTAAGTCTATCTCTTCAAGATAGCCTTTGGAAAATCATAGGCTTCTACTGGCCTAATTGTGCATTAGGGTGTTTCATTGGGAACGACTATTTTTGGTTTTTCACCAAAACTCCAAAATATTGTTCAAAACATCGAAAAAAAATTCTCTCAAAGTTTGAGTCCTTAATTTTGATTTTAAGGACTTTAAAAATTTAAAAAATATATATTTTCAACCACGTTTAAGCTATCATATTGTGGTTCAGTATTTAACGCTTTTTAAAGGAGCCTATAAGAATTTTTCTTTAACTCAAATTCAAAATTCACCTTGATGGTATCAGCTCTGAAAGCAATTTTTTTCGCCTATTTTTGAGAATATTACGATAATGGCTGGTCTTAACAAAAAATTTTAAAGGAAAAAGTTGTAGAAAACTCAATTCTCTACAATTTTTTTTTATGTTTATAGTGCACAGTTTACAAGATATTTAATTGTCATGGAATCGAATTTAAGACAAATTTATCTGAGGAAAACAACACACAGAGAATTTAATTTTCTCCAACTTATTCCTTTCAATTTTTTCAATTTTTTTTTTATATGGTTAAAATTCCCAAAAAAATATGTTTTAAAGAGTTTAAAATAATACTTTTATTGTAAAAAAATAGAGAAAACGATTAATTTGAAAAATATACAGAAATTTAAAAAAAACATAATTTCCATAATAATAATTTTTTTACTACTACTAATTTTTTTTAATTTCCAAAATTTTTAAAATTCACAAAAAAACCATTTGTTTGTTGATATTCTTTAAAGTTTAAATAAAATAATACTTTTATTGTATTAAAAAAATAGAGTAAACGATAAATTTGAAAAAATTTGAAAAGTTTAAAAATTACAGAAATTATCAATATTTTAAATTTTTTTGAAGTTGTCTAAATTCCCAAAAAACTAATTTTTTTAAGAGTTTAAATGTTTGTTTATATTCTTTAAAATTTTAAAAAAATAATACTTTTTTGCATATAAAAAAAAATAGAAAAAAGATACATTTGAGAAAATTTGAAAAATTTTAAATTTACAGGAATTAAAAAAAAATTTTTAAATAAAAAAAAACAATTTTTTTTAAGAGTTTAAATGTTTGTTTAAATTCTTAAAGTTTGATAAAATAATTGTATTATTATTATCAAAAAAACTAGAGAAAACGATAAATTTGAAAAAATTTAGAAAAACATAAATTTACAGAAATTAAAAAAAAATATATTTTTTTAAAATTATCCCAATATTAAAAATTCACAAAAAAAATATTTTGAGTTTTATTAAGAGTTGCCTGTTTATATTTTTAAAGTTCGAATAAAAATATACTTTTATTGTATTAAAAAAATAGAGAAAACGATAAATTTGAAAAATTTATAGAAAAATTTTTCAAAAATTCCCAAAAAACTATTTTTTTTAGAGTTTAAATGTTTGTTGATATTCTTTAAAAATAATACTTTATTGAATTAAAAAATATAGAGAAAAGAATAAATAAAAAAAATAAAAATTTTCAAAAAACTAAATTTTTTTAAGAGATCAAATGTTGTTTGTTTATATTCTTTAAAGTTCGAATAAAATAATACTTTTATTGTATTAAAAAATAGAAAAAACGATAAATTTAAAAAAACTTAAATTTACAGAAATTCAAAAAAACTAAAAACAAAAATATTATTTTTTTAATTTTCAAAATTCCCAAAAACTATTTTTTTAAAGTTTAAATATTTTTTGTTTATATTCTTTAGTTGAATAAAATACTTCCACTTATATTGAATTAAAAAAACAGGAAATGTTAAATATAAAAAAATTTAAAATTTATAGAATTTTTAAACTTTAAAAAATAATTTCCAAAATTTTTAAAAAATATTTTTTTTAAGTTTATATGTTTTTTGTCTATATTCTTTAAAGTTTGAATAAAATAATACTTTTACTGTATTAAAAAAAAATAAAGAAAATGATAAATTTGAAAAAAAAAATTGAAATTTACAAATTTACAGAAATTAAAAAAAAATATGTTTTAAATTTTAAATTTTATTTTAAAATTGTGAAAATTTCCAAAAAACTAAGTTGAAATATTTTTGTTTATATTCTTAAAAGTTTGAATAAAATAATACTTTTAATTGTAATAAAAAAATCGAGAAAACAATAATTTAAAATTTACAGAAATTAAAAAAAAAATAAATTCTTTAAAGTTTGAATAAAATTATTACTTTATTGTATTGAAAAAACAGAAAAAATGATAAATTTGAAGAAAAAAAATGAAAAAAATAGAAATTTACAGAAATTAAATTTTTTTTATTATTATGTGTTTGTTTATTTATATTCTTAAAAGTTTGAATGAAATAATACTTTTATTGTAATAAAAAAAAAATAGATAAAACGATGTTTTAACATTTCAAATTACCAGAAATTAAAAAAGATATAAAAATGTAAAAATTTGGAAAATTCCCGATTTGTTTGGAAGTAAACTCACCTCTTCGCAAATGGTGGACAGGTTGTCGGCGTCCTCGATGCGAGGCCTGACGAAATCCACCACCTCCTGGCTGCTCATGAAGTTCCAGATGCCGTCGCATGCCAGCACCATGAACTCGTCCTCGCCGGGGTTGACCGTGCACGTCTTCACGTCCGGCAGCGCGGTGATCATCTGCTCGCGGTCGCTCAGCGCCGCGTTCTGCTTGTAAGCGTGGTCGCCGATGGCCCTGCTCAGGTTCAGGCCGCCGTTCACGCGCCCGTCCGACGTCACCTTGCCGCCGGCTTTGGTCACGCGCAAGCGTTCCGGATCGTCTTCCGGCTTGTGGTCGAAGCTCATCTCCACAGCTTTGCCTGAGACACAACATTATTATTCAGATGCTCAGGGTTGACATGCGTTTTTTTAACAAACAAAACGTGCCTTTTTTAAGTATCGACAGTATCACTTGTACCCCTTAAGGTTTCAATACACATTATTAAAATAATGAGTAATGTGTAGAGTGGAATTTTAGGTTGCAAAATTTATAAAAATAGGCGAAAATAGTATATTATGTATCAAGTTTGATAAACGCCATTTTATACACGAATTTAATTTAGGCACGAGCGAGCTTGCGAGCGAGTGCTTAAATTAATGAGTGTATAGAAAAGTTTATAACCGAGGTGCATGCTATACTTTTTCTACGACAAATACTTATTATTATCTTAAAATGATTTAAATCAAAAATTTGTAAAGAGCGCCATCTATGAAACAACAGGGGAAACTGTCAAATGTCACATTTTTACATTTTATAAACACTGATTATAAAGGTTATAAATCGAAATGTACTTCTTGAAAATTGACAGTTTTTCACAGTGAAAGTAAAGGAAATGTTTTATGAGGACTTTACTTTATGAGGTCAGTACAATGTTCATATAAACTTTTCAAATATTGGCGTTGAGAAACTATTTATTATTTTTGCATTTTTTTATTGAGATAATAAAATAATTTTCACATTTAGTATTATTTTACAAGAAAGCCACTTTATTTTAACGATTGTATGACATTTGACAACTGTCAACTAACTTAAAACTAACTTCAGCCTATGACTAAAAACCTGTTGCTAACTTCAGCCCGTGACTAAAGCGCCGTAAAGCCACAACTTGTCAATGTGTATTTAAAAGGTCACTTAGTCATAGAAAAATGTACGATAAAGGGCGTTTTAAAGGTGGGAGTAGAAAAAATTCTTAAATTAGGTACTTTAAAATTTACAGAAATTTTCAATATTTAAATTTTTTTTAAGTTGTCTACATTCCCAAAAAACAATTTTTTTAAGAGGTTAAATGCTGCTTGTTTATATTCTTTAAAGTTTGAATAAAATAATACTTTTATTGCATTAAAAAAATTGAGAAAACAATACATTTGAGGAAATTTAATTTTTTTTTAAATTTACAGAAATTAAAAAAAAAATTGAAAAGTTTAAATGTTTGTTTATATTCTTTAAAATAATACTTTGATTGTATTTAAAAAAATAGTGAAAACGATAAATTTTAAAATTTTAATATTTAATTTTCAAAATTTACAAAAAACTAAATAATTTTTAAATATACAGAAATTTAAAAAAAAAATTAAATGTTTGTTGAACACAAATTATTCATGTGGTCAGGGTGGTCATGTTTTTTTAACAAACAAGGTTTCAATACACATTATAATATATTAAAATAATGAGTAATGTGTAGAGTGGGATTTTAGGTTGCAAAATTTATAAAAATAGGTGAAAAATTCTTAAATTAGGTACGTACTTTACGAAAATAACTACTGGAACGCAACTTTTAGGTGGTGAAATAATTTAATTTATTATTGTATAAAATTGTATTAAACAAAATTTTTATGATTTAAAATTTATAAAATAACTGACGAATATATCTTGTAAAAATATAATACAATCAAAAATTTTATAATTGTTTATTGCGGCGACACATTCAAATTTTTTTTGTTAATAAGCATATACTTAATTGCTGTTATTTTTAAGTTTCCTAGTTACTTTAAAAAGTATCTAAAATACTTTTGAGTAACTAAGAAACTTTTAAGTAACTAAAATACTTTTAAGTAACTAAGATATTTTTTTTTAATAAAGTTACTTTTAATTATGAATAAAAACAATAAAATTATGAAAATTAAACAAGTTGTAGGTTAGGTAATTACTTTGAATCATTCTGGAATTCTCCCAATTTTCTCCAAGAAAGTTACACTGAAGTGTATCTAAGTTACTTTTAAAAGTATCCTAGTTACTTTAAAAAGTATTTTAGTAACTTAGTATCTAAGTCATTTTTTAGTAACTAAGAAACTTTTAAGTAACTAAAATATTTTTGAGTAACCAAGTTACTTTTAAGTATGAATAAAAACTATAAAATTATGAAAATTCAACAAGTTGTAGGTTAGGTAATTACTTTGAATCATTCTGGAATTCCCCCAATTTTCTCTAAGGAAGTATCTAAGTTACACTGGAAAGTATTTAAGATACTTTAAAAAGTATATTGGTTACTTTAAAATATCTAAAATACTTTTGAGTAACTAAGTTACTTTTAAGTATGAATAAAAACTATAAAATTATAAAAAAATCAAAAAGTTGTAGGTTAGGTAATTACTTTGAATCATTCTGGAATTCCCCTAATTTTTTCCAAGAAAGTATCCAAGTTACACTTAAGTGTATTTAAGTTTCTTTTAAAAGTATCCTAGTTACTTTAAAAAGTATCTTGGTTACTTTAAAGTATATAATATACTTTTAAGTAGCTAAGAAACTTTTGAGTAACCAATTTAAGTATGAATAAAAGCTATAAAATTATAAAAATTCAACAAGTTGTAGGTTAGGTAATCATTCTGAAATTTCCCCAATTTTCTCCAAGAAAGTATTTAAGTTACTTAAAAAGTATCTTAGTTACTTTAAAGTAACAAAGTTATTTTTGAGTAACTTGAATGTTACTTTTTTAGGTACAAGTTATAAGATACTTTTCCAAAGTAACTAAGTTAAAGAAACTTTCTATCAAATATAAAAAGTATCCAAGTTACTTTAAAGTATCTTTTTTTTTCAAGATACTCCCAGCTCTGTTCTATTAGCTGGCCATACACAGACGTTATTGCGCGCGGTTTATCGTGTTATCTGCAAAAACATATGGAAAATCATGTACGTGAGTGAGTATCGCCGCGCGAAATGATAGAACGGGAAGGGATTTCAGACGTGCTTTTCTCTGGAGTGTGGCGTGTCCACACGCCACATTCCGCGTCACGGTTTACCTTTGCTTGGCAAAATTTCACGTTGAAAATTTGTACATGATCACATGCAGTTTCAAACGACTCGATAAATGACACTTTTTGCCCACTCACATACGATTTTCCCTTTGAAACTGATATACCACGGGCAATCACTTGCTAAATCATTTGAATACTTTATCAAGTGTATGGAACATGACGCTTTTTTTGCCATGCCGTTCTTTCGTGCATACTAACCGCTACATTCCAACACGCCACGATAAACCGCGCGAAATAACGTCTGTGTATGGCCAGCTAATGTGCAATTTTTAAAATTTTTTTAGTATTATGAGGAATTTGTCCCAACATTTTTGAAGTTTATGCCACCGTTGGAATATTGTTTCCGTTTCGCCTTTGGTTTACCCCGTCCACAAAGAAAAAAAAATCCTTAAAACTTTGTTTCACGAATGATCTTTACTTACCGTTCCTGCAGACGATGCACCTAGAGTCCCCGGCGTTGGCGACGTAGAGCTCGTTGCCCTTGAGGAAGGCGACGACTGCCGTGCAGCCGCTGTCGCTGCCCGGCTCCTCCTTCATGTTCCTCACGAACTGGTAACTCTCGTCGTCCTCGTCCTCCTCGTCGCCGTCCTCCTCGTCCTCTTCGTCCGAGCTCTCGTCGTCGCCGTCGTCGCCGTCCTCGTCGTCCAGGGAGGCGTTCACGCCCTCTTCTTCTTCGTCGTCATCATCGTCGTCGTCGCTCAGATCTGCAACAAGAGACGTCGGACGTCGATCACTCTCGTTACGTTATTCTCCAAGGGTTTGTGGATGATTTAGCGAGGTGATTTACGAAATTAAAAACTAGCAACACCACCTCCAAAAAAGATTGATGGAAAGAAGCAGACGCCCTCAAATACAGACTGTATAGAATCAAGTAAGTAAGGCTGGAGACAAGGATTACAAATTATATTCTGATCAGAGAAAAAGAAACAAACTTTAATTGGGCGTGGTTTAAACCAAGCCATTCGTAATTACGAACCATAGTTGTTTTAAATCAGAAGAGAACGATTATAATTATTTAATAAATAGTTCAATTTTATTTGTTTGAAACTTTAAAAATAACAAAAAAATTAATATGTCAAAAGTAATTTGATTTAGTTAATTTTCTTACTTTTAATATTAAAAAATAAGAAAAACAACCCTTTTAGGAAACAATAATAGCATATGGCAACAGCGCGGCATGCAGCCAGATACAAGGGCATGCAGTTTGTTCAGTAGCTCCGACGCTGTCGTAGCCTACGACTCGTAGGGAAATGTGTATAGTTTTTAAGAAATACATTTTCGCCATTAACTGGAATTTAATGGATTTTAAACAATACTTAGTTTTTATTTGCAGAAATGCATTCAAACAAAACAAACGAATTCGATAAAAATAAAACCTATAAATTCTCAAACAAAAATAATTCTAAAATAACGACAATGATAACATTGACAATGATACGGCAAGCAAACAAATTCAATCCCTACCACAGTGGGCGGGGTTTGGCACTTTTATTTAAGTGTATCTATTCGTTTTAATACACACTGTATACAGGGTTTTTCAAAAAACATCCAATAAAAAGAAGAAAAAAAGTAAGTATAAACGTAGGTCCAGAAATGCTTAGTTTTCAACATAAACGGCTTGAAAGTTTTTTCTTCTTCATATTTAAAGCTTTTTTTCAAAAATTTTTGTTTCCAGTCCAGTTTGTAGACTAAAATTTATCCACTAAATGACATTTAGTGAATAATTATTAATTAAATATAAAATACAACTGCAAAACTTTATGCTTAAAAATGTTGATTTTAAAAAATTATAGTTCAAATATTTTATTATACAAAATTATTGGTTTTAATTTGTCATTGTCGATAAAATTTTAATACAAAAATTCTCACATTACATTTCAATGTAACTTTTGAAATATACAGTATTGGCCATAATTATTGCAACAACTGTAAAAAAATCTAACTCTAAAACGCCTTTATTAACCTTTATAAAATTTTAATTAAAAATACTTTAACTTATATCTCAGTTTACGTGTTATTTTTAAAGCCCTTTTATTTAATAATAAAAAAACGTTCGAAATATAACTTTTAGGGAAGTAAATAAAAATATGCTTTTAAAGACCGTATTTTTGTTGGTATACCCTGAAAATTTTGTACAAATCAAACGAAAAGTAACTTTATGATTATTTTGCTGAAAAGTGGTCATTTTTGACGACTTTGAAGCGCTGTATTTTCGTTACTGTTCGTTTGATTTGTACAAAATTTTCAAGGTATACTAACCAAAAAGTAGTCTTTCACAGCAAATTATTTATTTACTTTTAAAAAAAATTCCCTGTAATAGTTTTTTTTAGCGTTTTTAATTATTAAATAGAATATTTTTCGAAAAACCCTTCAACATGTAAACTGAGATATAAGTTAAAGTATTTTTATTTGAAATTTTATAGATTGTTAAAGGCTTTTTAAAGTTGTATTTTTTTTACTTGTTATGCATTAATTTTGACGCGCAGTGTATTATATTTATATAAATATATTGATATATGATAGTCAATTGCAAACTAACTAAAAACTAACATTTAATTGTAATGTGAGAATTTTTGTATTAAAAATTGATCAACTATCATTTATATGACTCTTTACAAATTTAAACCAATAAGTTTGTGGAGTAAAATATTAAAACCACAATATTTAAAAACCAATATTTTAAACTTTTACATTTGCATTTTATATTTAAAATATTTTTTGATTCTTAATTGTTTTAACACGAAAAAATTAACTTTTTAAACTTTTTTGGTAAACAATGTTTTATATTTTTTTATCTTAAATTTCTCAACACTATTTTTAAATACGAAAAATTTAACTTTACCAATTTAATCTAAATAATTTTATAAAAATATTTACAAAATTCTATTTTTATTAAAAAATAAAGAACTACCAAATAATAATTTTTAGTCTCAGTAATAATTTTCAATAATGGAAAATGTAATATATTTTAAATTTCACTTTATTATTAATATACGTTTTGCTCAAAATTTCATGTTTTTTTTTTCAAATTTGGGTTTCAGGTGGCGTTTCGGGATGCACCTTAAAATAAAAGTACCTAAAAACGGATGCCTAAATATTGCTTTTTGCTTGAAATAACTTTGAAAATGGTAATGTTTTGGGTTCCAAAATGAGAAAGAAACATAGATATTTTGTAGATTCGTATAAATCGAAAAAATGATAAAAAAATTGGCTTGATAAGAAAGTCGGTGAATTCGCGCCCGCGGTTCTTAATCATCGGTTATCTCACCACACAGGTATACTCACCCTGGGGCCCTTCGAACGTCTTATCCTCCTCGTCCTCGCTGTCCTCGTCGCTGTTGTCGCCGTCGCCGCCGCCGACGCCGCCGCCGCCGAAATCGAGGAGTTGCCTGTACAACTGATTCGCGTTTCTTTTAGGCCGGGCGATCACTTTTTGCGGCGGTTTCACCGACTTTTTCGCCAGCGCCTTACCTTTACCTACAGAGACAATAAGCCCACAGAAAATGATGAAATGATACTGCGCGCTACTGTCGTGTTTTTTTGTGCCTTCCTCCTCCGAGAAGCCTTTCAGGGTGTTGTGTTTTTTCTACATTTAGAGTGTCGGAAAAAAACGAAAAAATTGTCTTTTTTGGGAAAAACATACATATTTGAAAAAGTAGCAATCAATATTTTACCATTATTTTAATTTAAAAAAAATATATTTTATTCCAAAAACATTGAATTAAATTAAATTGATTTAAAAAAATAAACGTAAACGTTAAATTTACTGTCGGTGGGGTCGAAAAAACAAAAGGAAAAAATGGGAAACAAATCTGTTTTTTCCGTTTTTTCCCAGACCTTGGAAAAATTATCTTTTTTGAGAAAAATTGAATTTTCTTTGGAAAATATAAGTACACATTTGAAAAAATTAGCAATCAACAACTTACCATTGTTTTGTTTAGAAAAAAAAACTTCTTTTATTATAAAAAAATAAAAATAAACTTTAATACAATGCGCGTCAAAATTAAAACATAACAAGTAAAAAAAATGCAACTCTAAAACGCCTTTACCAATCTTTATAAAATTTTAGATAAAAATACTTTAATTTATATCCCAGTTTACGTGTTTAAGGGTTTTTTGAGAAAATATCCTTAAAGCCCTTTTATTTAATAATAAAAAACGATCGAAAAAAATAAATTATAAGGACATTTTTTTCAAGTAAATAAAAAATATGCTGTGGAAGACCGTATTTTTGTTAGTATACCCTGAAAATGTTGTACAAATCAAACGAACAGTAACGAAAATACAGCGCTTTAAAGTCGTCAAAAATGACCACTTTTCAGCAAAATAATCAGAAATGGGTCATTTTTACCGACTTTAAAGCGCTGTATCTTAGTTACTGTTCGTTTGATTTGTACACAATTTTCAGGGTATACATACCTACCAACAAAAATACGGTATTTAACAGCATATTTTTTATTTACTTAAAAAAATCCCTAAAAGTTATTTTTTGAACGAAAACTGAGATATAATAATAAGATGAAGTATTTTTAGAGATAGAACGATATCACTTTTTTTTGCCGATACGATATATCGGCCGATACCGATATTTACGTGCCGATATACCGATATATCGTATCGGCAAACATAATGCCATCTATTTATACACGACCGAAGCAAAAATTGGGGAAGTCCCGTTTTAATTCCGTTGCGAGGAAATATTTGTGATTGGTAGTGAGTGACATTTCGGATTTCTGGGAAGCACCTTATACAGTGTGTATTAAAATGAATAAATACACTTAAATAAAACAAGTGCCAAACCCCGCCCACTGTGGTAGGGATTGAGAATTTATAGGTTTTATTTTTATCGAATTAAATTTTAAGTATTAAGTATATACTGTATTTAGTACCTGCTACATTAGGTATATTTGTTGTAAGTGGTGTTAGGATTTGTTTTACTTTTTAGTAAAAATGTTACCTTTAGAATAAAATTTTTTATTTTGTTTAATAAAGTATTTCATTTATCAGTCTGCTCTTGACGCTTGAAGTGTAAGCATATGCTCACCGATCTCTCTTAAGCAGCGTATACGATACAAATGTAGTAACGTGATAACTGGTTAACGCCGTAAAATAATAAAAAATCAATCGATTCTAAACGTGATAACTGTCCCAAGTGCAAAAGAGTGCAAATTGTGTGTGGTACCTCCCCCATTGATTAAATCCTCAAGTGTTGGACCTGGTTAAAAGGTGTGAGATCACTTCCACGAAATTTACTGGACTACCAAACGTGCGAGCGGCATGCGAAATGGTTCAATTCCAGCACCAAATGGTCAAGATAAGTTATTTTTTCCAATTGCATGTCTTACCGTATATTCGCTAAATGTTCATAAAAGCATTTCACAAAGTTTATGTAAGCATTTCACAATGTTGCAAAAAGAAAATACTAAGAATTCTTTTATTGTCTCAAAAACTAAATTAAAAAAGAATAAGAACATTTCCTTAAGTTTAAACAAACAGCCTCATTTTCTCATGGCAGACAAATCATAAGCAACCATCGAAAAAGGCGTAAGATAAATAAATAATAAACTAAACATGCAAGAAGACAAAAAATAACATAAACAAGTTGTGTGTGAATAGCAGTATTGCCAGATGTAAAAGTTGAAATTATCGAATTGGGTAAATAAAATTATCGAATTTTCGGAAATTAAGTTACAATAATTGTAATAATTATGTAACAATAATTATTATAATTTAATCATAAAAAAAAAAGTAAAAGAGAAAGAATCGAATTTTTAGAAAATTATAAAATTTGTAAAAGTAAAAAAAATACCCCCCACTGGGAACTGCCTTATCGCAGCGATTGCGGCCTTACGCTCGGCACGAGTGATGGGCTCCTCCGCGGGGGGTGCAGCCTCCCGTGGCCTATACGGGGGATGGTCTACATGGCGGTAGTCGTAGTACGATTGCCGTTGTGAGGATTGTCTTCCGGGGGGGCCGCGGGGGGTTGTATTTCTTTGCGGGGGAGTTTATCAGTTGTGCCGATTATCGTACCAATGGGAAAAACCATTACCAAAAGGGTAAGAGTAGCCCAATTAAACACTGGGCCCACGTCACTCGTAGACAACGCAACAACATACTACAAGCCACCCTTAAACTAGATCTTAAAGACAAAAAAATCGGTAGACCATGCTTCACATTTCATGACACGTAGCACAATACATGCACTTCTCACAAAGTAACGAGACCAGTTGGGAGCAACTAAACAACAATAAAAAAAAAAAAAACAACCGACACACTTTACCAAGTTCAGGAACTATCCGACACGGATAATGACAATAATGAACAAGACGAAGACCTCGACTAGTAAACTACACCCCTGCAGCGTAATAACAACTCCCCAACTCCAAATAGTAATCCCAAATGTTTGGAGTAATACTAACCGACTGGTCTAGGGGGATTCCGCGTCGTACTTAGTTTTAAGTCGGCGTAATTGTCCCCCAAAAACCAACTCCCTCCCGTCCCTCATCCATACCTCACTGAGCGTATAGCATAGGCCCGGCGAACCCGGGAACGGCTATTATAACTATTCGCCTCTCGCTCTCGAGCCCCAAATAGGGGACAGTACGTAACGCAATGGACATTCGCACCCAGCAAACACGGGTGAAGCCGTGCAGTTGCTGGGGAAGAACAAAAATCGGCGTAAGTAAACATAGGCCTGTACGGGGTTTAAGAGTCAAGAGGAAATGGGGCTGGTTATACGTCTCTTATACTCATACTCATAAAGTATTTCATTTATGTGAAAAGCGCAATTTTTTTTTGCCGATACGATACGATACCGATAATCGGAAACAATTGCCGATATACCGATATCAATATCGGTATCGTTCTATCCCTAAGTATTTTTATACAAAATTTCATAAAGATTGGTAAAGGCGTTTTAGAGCTAGAATTTTTTTACTTATTATGTGTTAATTTTGACGCGCAGTGTATATGCAAAAAGGAGTACATTAAAAAAATCCATTACAAAATTATAATTTTATAAATTAAAGTGTGAAACAAAGATTATGTTAATACACCATCAAATATGTTTTTGGCGACCCGGTAGAATATTCTTACTGAATTAAAATAAAAGGTATAATTATTATAATCATGAAATTATGATTATATTCAGCGTCGAAAATTTATACATTTTTCGTATTACCCACGATACACATGTATCGTGGTATTACCCTTGAAATAAAATTTTAAAAAAATTTCCGAAAATTTCACAATTTTTCCGTTTTTTTCCGCCGGCTCAATTTTTCCGTAAATCTTGAAACCCTAATTATCACAGAGCTATTAATAATGTAAACTTATACTTACTACTACTACATTTTATCAATAAATGTTTTTTGTATATCAAGATGAAAGAGAATTTATTATTAACGTGGCTCCTGCAAAATAAAAAACACAACACCCAACTTTTAACTTTCCCTTACCTTTGACATCTCCGTTTTCGTGCGGGGAAGAACTGCTGACGTCGTCCTTGGCCTTGGACTCGGACACGTCGCCATTTTGGTGCGGCGTTTCCGGAGAGGCTTTAGCCTGTCCGGCGTCCGCCTCCTTCTTGTCCGCGTCCGAACTGTCCGGAGACGAGACCTTAAATGCAGTTATCCATGTAGCTTTTGGACCATGAGCATTATATTCCTTCCTTCCTTCCTACCTTCCTCCCGTAAAAGATGAACAATACCAAAACCGTAGTGCCGGCACTACGGTTTTGGTATTGTTCATCTTTTACGGGAGGAAGGTAGGAAGGCATAAATCGTCGCTTGGTTACCTTGATCTCCGGTACGCCGCCGTTGGCGGGCTTGTTGTCGTCGTCGGCCGTCTTGGCCTCGCTGGAGTCGGCGCTGGAGCTGGTGACGGCGTCAGCGGCGGGATTGGAGGAGCCCGCGGGCTCCGAGGCGCTAGAATTCGAGGAGGAAGCGACGTCTGCGGTTTCCTTTTTCGCCTTGAGGTTGGGCGATTTGGGCAGCTTTTCGGCCTCGGCCGCTTTGAGGTTGCGCACCGCGGGGTTCACGAGGTTCGTGTACTTCTCGATCACCTTCTCGATCGGCATCGTCGCCTCCTTGTACAGGTTGTCGACGTTCTCTTCGTCGTCCTCGTCCTCTTCCGCTTCTTTGTCTCCTGTTTTTAAGTCGAGAAAATATTGTGCAAAAAATATCTAACTTTGTTTTTTGTACATTTTAACCGAAAACACAATAAATTGGTCACCAAAACATTATCGAAAGTTTCTTCTAGGATTTAAATTTTCCTAATTTGAATTTTTTTTTAAACTTACAAATTCAAATTAGGAAAATTTAAATATTAATGTTTTGGTGAACAATTTATTTATCTGCACCCAACAGCGTTTAGGCCCAATAACAGGATTGCATATACATTAGAGGTGCTACTTGAAAAAAAAACGGTCCGTTTTTTTTTCAAATGGTTTTTTTTCACATTTTAGGTTTTTTTTCAAGATTAGTCCCATTTGCCCAATTTTGTATGTTTTCATGGACTAAAATTAGCCACTAAATGACAATTATTAAATGTAAATACAGTCTCGCGATATGCACTCGCCACAACCACCGAAAAAACAAAAAAAAACCGTTTTTTTCTAGGTTTTTTTTCACATCTGAAAAAAATCTAATATACATATTGCAAGAGATTTTTGGGTAAGTTTAACATACCCCTTAAAATACTTTTGTGCTATAAAAATTCTATTACTAGCTCCTCTAGTCATCGAATTTTTATTGCACAAAAAACTATGTTAAACTTACCTTATAATAGTCAATGTAAAACTTATTTTAAATGTAATCAAATTTAAACCGTCTTAATATTAAGTTCAAAAAGTTCGGCGATATAAACAAATACGAGACGAGGAATACAAATTCAATATTAAAACTTAAGTACACAAAGGCCCAATAATAACAGCGATAAAATTGTATAACAATTGTAATTGTGTAACAATTGTAATTGTGTAACAATTTCGTAATAATTTTACTTTTGACGTTTTCCTACATAATTTTGTAAATTGTCGTTTTTTGGAAATAAATATTATTATTATTGGTTATTCTTCAAAACCATCCATAGATATTATATTTTCCATAACATTCTAAATTCTTTGAAATCAACATCTGTGTAAGAGATTATGAGTTTGTGGTGGAGATATGGCTTGAAAAAAATTTTTTAATGTTTTTTTTTCATATTTTAGTTTTTTTTCAAGATTTGTTCCATTTGCCACGTTTTATATATTTTTTATATAGCCTTAAACTACCCATAATAGACTTCAAGAAGTTTTACATTATTATTGGTTTCTTATGTGAAAACTACCAAAAAATAGGATATCAAATTTTTTAGTTTCAGTCAAAATTTTCAATATTTCACTCTATTATTAATAATATTAATATTAATTCAATATACATTTTGTTTCAAATTTCATATTGAAATTTTTTTAAGATTGGTGTTATTTATTTACAGAATATGCTTTATTGTAGCTTGTAGTTTGTGGTGAGAAAATTTGGGATTTTTGCGATTTTTATTTGGACGTAAAACTCAGTTTTTGTACCCTAAAAATCGATTAAAAAAAAAATCGTCGTAAAATTTTAGTAAAAAAAATTCTGTTTAGCCGTTTCTGATTCAACATGATCACTCCAAAAAACCTTTTCTCATGAAGTTCTTTTTACTAAGACCATTATTTGATGATGTATAGTTTGTTTAAATAAAATTATGATAACATACCTAAAAAAATCAACGAAATCGTTTAATTTTTCGCCTTACAACCCCTTAACATGATTTTGTTGATTTTTTAGGTATGTAATCATAATTTTATTTAAACATACTATACAGCATCAAATATTAATGTCTTTGTACAACAAATTTCATGAGAAAATTCTTAAAATTATAAAATTGTGAGTAATCAGAACATATTATATATTTTTGATATATTGCTATATTTTCCTTTGGAAACTCAAAATAAAATAGTTAAAAAAATTACAAGTAGTTTTGAGATATTAAGCTATAAAAACTTAAAAAGAATATGTACCTACATCTTATAATGGTTGCCATGGAAACAAAATAAATTCTCTGAAATTAGCATGGTTGACAGATATATTTTTTGAGTTTATCATAATTTTTTTATGCATTTCCAAAAATTAAATTTTCATCAATAAACACTAAAGGCAAAATGTTTTTTTAGAAAATCTTATAAAATATTATATCCATAGAAACCTTGGAAAAATCATAAGATAACATAATATGCAGATAATTAATGTTTTTTACTTTATTTTGATTTTTTCTCCAATAATTACAAAAAAAATCTGAATCATTGTATTTAAGGTATAACAAATAAAAATTAAATTAAATTAAATGTTATCATTGTTACCTGCAATTTCTTTCAATATAGCAATAACATCCTTGGTGGCTATGGTGGCATCGAAACCAAGAAATCCTTCGATGAGAGCCTTCTCAATATCACCGTCCTTGTAGGTTTGCAGCTGCTTGATGAACTCAGGCAACTTTTGCGAACAATACTGGGCCACCTCATGGCCCCCGTGTCCATCGTACACGGCGAAAAACGAACAGTTATTGTCGTACTCCAAAATGCAATTGTGAGCATCCTAAAAATAATTTGTCATAGCCAAATTTTCATGCCAATTGATGTTTTTACGTCAATTTTATATATAAAAATTAATAATCTTCTTTAATTAATGGTAAATAGAAGTTTATTAGGTGGAGAATAATGAAGATTTTTCATTGTAAAATGTGTGGTTATGTTATATTGGGCGAAAATCGTGGTATCTTTAAAAACAAAAGCAAATCGTCGCTTGGTAACAAGAATTCTCATTTTAATTGTTAAATGAAGTTTAACGTTACATAAAGTACGGGTTTTTTATTGTTGAGAGGCGTAATCTATGCATTGCGGCGATAAAATTATTTATAGAGATTAAATAACGCGCATTTACCACGAATGTACTTAAATTGACCCTCAAAACCAAGTAATTAAAGCTAAGAACGAAATAATTAAGTTACCTCTTGGCTTACGCGCCAACCTTGCATAGAACTGGCCCCGCATTTTAATTTGTCGTTGATTTCGTCGCTGGAAATCTTCTCGCACAACGGTTCGGACAAGTAGGAGCCCATTTTGTCGAAATCGCAACGTTTTAAACCTTAATCTAACCGAAAAGTTTGGATAAACACTTAACAAATATAAACCGGCAGCAAAACGACTTGTTAACTCGCGTCCATGCTGGTTGGAGGGTTTTCTTAATGACAGTTGACACTTGGTGGCGCTGCTGCGTCGCGCCAAAATTACGTAAGTGCATCTGTGGCGGGAAATTTGAAAATACGTCTATACAAGGGTTGTGCATTTAGTCATTGTTTTTTGGGGTTCTCTATAAAAACAATAATTAATTGATCACCATTTCAAGGTATGATTCATTTCTTTAAAATTTAATAAGGATACAGTGATAAATATATTAAAAAAAATTAATCTAATCTTATCTAAATAGCTTAAAATTGACAAAAGGATTAATCCATGTTATCAAGTTGATTGATTATTTTCATTATTACTTTAAGTTTACTTGCATACATCTAAGGCGTATAAGGATTATAAACATTTATTAATTACTTAAAAATGTGTAAGAAGTGAAAATATTGTTTATTTTTGCCTTTAATAATTTTGGATTTTTAGAACATGGTAAAGTTTAAATTTTTAATTAATTTATTTTACTATTACATCCTATTTTTACTTTATTTAAGGATGTTCGACTTAGACATGGATATAGGAATAGTCAAGAATCAGAAACGTAAGTTTTTAATTTTTAATTTTTTTTTTGTTTTCAAAACCAACAATAGTTTTAAATTTTTGAAACCTATTTTTTTATATATTAGGACATGTTAATAATCTTATCAGTATTTGAATGGATTAATTTTTAGATTATTGTTAAAAAAAATATTTAAATAAATACCGCATTAAGTTGTCACACCATTGAAAATAACTATTTGGGTACTCCAACGTGTATTTTTTTATTTGAAAGGCTACAGGCTGTTAAATTAGAAAAAAATTCAGTAAATACAAGTATGTATATTAACATAAAATTTATAAATTTAATAGAAAAAAAGCCAGCGGTTCTCAAAATATGAGAAAAAAACTAAAAAACCTTTCAAATCCAAAAATCGATATATCTTTGTTATTTCTGGGAATTTTAAAACAAATTAAGTTTTAAGTTTAAGCTTTTATCTAACCATGTAAAATTACAATATGGCGGCCATAGAAAAAACAAAAGATGGTGGTGGTATCTCAAAATCTAAAGTATATTCAAATCCAAGCTGGACTAAACAAAAACGCCCAGACACATGATAACTCGTTCTTATTGGTCGATTCTGATGGTGTGACTCGGATTGTAAGTTCTTATTGGTCGATTCGAAAGATTGTGTTTACATTTAGTCCAGCTTGGATTTGAATAGACTTTAGTATGCGAAAAAAATCATAAATTTGAGGAAATTATGATGTGTCGCTCTTGCTATCATATCCGGATGATTTCGGATTTTATTCTGCCGCTGCAGTGAGTTCGCGGAGTAGTTCTAATGTGTCAACTTCGCTCTGGTACACTAAACTATTCATGTAGCCATATAGAAACCACAATAACAACCGAACTGCCAGTACAAAGTACCTACTAACCGATTTTGAATAGGTTTAAAAATTTGCTTGATATTACATGTTTCTTTTTTGCTTGGATGAATGATATCATTGTTTTTAGAGGTAAAAACAATGGTTTTGTCAAAAAAAATTCATAATATTTTTATTAGCACCACAAATGTTGGTTGGGACGTTTTCTTGGACACCCCGCGAAAACCGGAAGTCGGTTCCACAGCCAGCACAAAAACAATAGACGTATCAGAAAAACTTCTGAGAATATTTACATATGGCGTCAATTTCATCGCAGTTCTTGGATTCGCCGTCCTCTCCAAAGGCACCACTCTTTTCATGACATCCCAAATCAAACCGAACGCTACGAGATATTACTGCAAAAAGTTGGCCTTGGACCCAAAACAACAATTTCGAGTGACCTTACCCCTCGAAGAAAGAAGTCAATGGATTTGGATGCTCTTATTCGCCTACTTTGTTCCCGAGCTGGGAACCTTCGTCAGGTCTCTCAGGATTTGCTATTTCAAGACGGTCTCAAGTAAACCGACATGGACCGAATGGCTATCGTTGTTTGTCACGGAAATTTGCCCGGCCATAGGCAGCGCCTTGTTGATTTTTGTCGTCCTACCCGAACTGGATGTAATCAAGGGTGCCATGCTGACCAATGCTGTCTGTTTGGTGCCCGGTTTAGTCGGTAAGTTAACATCTTTTTATATCCAATCAAAATGCCATGAACATCTTGTCATTTTTAATAAAGGAATTTCAATCCACAAACATTGTATTTTTACTTTTGAAATGGTACAAGACGTTTTATTCTTCCAGCATTTCTATCCAGAGACCCAGCCTGTAAGAGGAGCCTCATCCCCATGATTCTGGACGTTGCAAGTTTGGCCTGTCAAACTGTAGCCTTGGTGCTATGGCCTTTAATAGAAGGCAAACTAATTCTTTACACGATAACAGCATCGGTTTTGCTCATTTCCGTTGGTTGGTGGGAGAACTTTGTTTCAAAGGAATCGCCTTACTTCAAAAAATTCACGACCTCAAGGCTTGTTTTGGAAAATAAAACGTACTTTATGTACCTATTTTTGGCGCCTATGAAATGCTTGGCATTTTTTATCACTGCGTGTGTGATACTGGTGATCCAAGATGGCGATATTGGGTTTTTGTTTAGAATGGACGACGCTTTTTCGTCGCATAACATCAACATCACAGAGGTTAGTGGTATTTAGAAGATGCGGAGAAAATTCATATTGCGTTTAAATTTATATTCATATAAAATTTGAATTTTTTCCAAATCTTAAGTATTTTTTAGATAATCCCCATAGTTGGATCATCTTCCATACATCTGGAAGATGCCATAAGTACTGGCTATAATTTCTACACCACTACGAATGTTATGACACCTATATGGGTTTGGTTGATAAACATACTTGCGACATATCTTTGCTATGCCTTTGGAAAATTTTCCTGTAAGATTTTGATGCAAAGTAAGTCATACAATTATTTTACATGTCATATTTCCTCGCTACATAGGCTCTTCAATAATATATATAATAATTCATATTGTTATTTTTCAGGTTTCTGCTTCGCTTTTCCTATCAATTTGACTGTACCTGTGGTGATTGCGGCTTTGATAGGGATGAGTGGTGAATACAATGTGGATGTTTGCGCGTATAGGAATATTATTCCAGAATACCTATTTTTCAATACGCCGTCGATATACTTTTTAAGCGAGTTCATAGGAAGTCAGTACTCATGGATTTGGGTTTTATGGTAATGATTGTTCGATAAAAATCATGCATTTGTTATATGGGGTTTGTTTATAGGCTTTTTTCACAATCATGGATTACTATTCACATCTGGTACCCTCATGTCGATGATAAATTGGCGCGTACAGAAAAGTTATTCTACAAGCCTATGTATGATGCTTTTCTAATTGATCAGTCGATCGCCTTAAATAGAAGAAGGAACCATCCAAATAAAGAGAAATCGGAAGGTAATTTGCAAAACAAAAAAATATAATAACCTTATGACTTTGTAGTAGGCGACGGGATGGTAGACATGACAGATGAAAACTCTTATCCACGAATCTATGCTTGCGGAACCATGTGGCACGAAGAAAGAGAAGAAATGATGGAATTTTTAAAATCCATAATACGCCTCGATAAAGAACAATTTAAACTAAAAAAACAGAAAGATTTTCAAGACGATATACCACGAAATTATTTCGAACTAGAAAGTAAAGAAAGCCAAAAAACACGACAAGTTTACCTAACTTTAATATGTTTCAGCTCACATATTCTTCGATGATGCTTTCGTGTTAAAGAAGAAGAAAAGGCAGGAACCTGAAATACACGTGAACCGTTTCGTGAAGGATCTCATCGAAGTCGTTTCTAAAGCCCCTGCGGAAGTTTTGGGCATCGAAAAGTTCATCATGGCACCCCCAATAAAAACCCCTACTCCATACGGTGGCAGATTAGAATGGACTTTGCCTGGAGGAACCAAAATGTACGCTCATTTAAAAGACAAAAGCAAGATAAGACCTAAGAAGAGGTGGTCCCAGGTCATGTACATGTACTATTTACTAGGACATAAGTAAGTATAAAAATAATTAACGAATTGAACTAATATTAATATTATTTTCTAGGCTTATAGATAGAAAGGATTTAACCAACGCAGAAAAGGTTATTATATCCGCAAACACTTATATCCTGGCTCTCGATGGAGATATCGACTTTCAGCCTAAAGCAGTGCATGCTTTAATAGATTTGATGAAAAAAACTCCAACCTTGGGCGCAGCATGTGGTAGAATACATCCTATAGGACACGGAGCAATGGTAAAACCTTAAAAATAATATTGACATTCATTGAAAATCCTTTTTAGGCTTGGTATCAAATATTTGAGTACGCGGTTGGTCATTGGCTTCAAAAAGCCACCGAGCACGTTATAGGTTGCGTTTTGTGTAGCCCAGGTTGTTTCTCGTTGTTCAGAGGCACTGCTCTTATGGGCGATTCGGTCATGAAGAAATATACCACCGTTGCCACAGAGCCCATACATTTAGTGCAATATGATCAAGGTGAGTTTATAAAGTACGACTTGAGCTCAGACAAACATGGAACACTCCGTACATACGTTGAAGCACGAGACACAACACAAGACTATCAATGTTAGGCCCCTACAGCGAACTTGTTAGTTGTTACACCCCAGCCGCAAACATGACGCCTCAAATGATTGTGGTAAATACTAACGTTTGGGTCGGCGTAATTGTCCCCTGGCAATCAAAATGAACAGACATAGGATAGCCCTTCTGTTTCTAGAAACAGTAAGTTGCTATTTAGCACCTTTTTATTCCTAAAGGGCGTATAGTCCGGCCCGGTGAGTTCAAGGAAGGGCTACTAACATATTAAAAGCCGTGGGGGTCACCTGCTTCCAGCTAACAAAGGTAAAGCTAAGCAGTGGGAATAAATTATCTAATTTTCATCAATCTCTTTCTTATAAAAATAATCTGAGGAAATCCTAAATTGGAACATATTTTTTTCCAAAATGAGCATGAGATATCGTTACAGTTGCGCTCTACACCTCGAGGAAAGTGGTCGTGTGTCTAAGCATAAACCGGATAAATAAAATTACCTTAATCTCACGACCTTAACCTTAAGTTTAGGTCCTTAACATAATACTTAATCCTAAAGCGAACTTCTCAACCTAAAGAAACAAAAAACTGCAAGCTTAGCCGAAGCAACAATCCCGTTAATAAAACGACTAACATAAACAGTCAAATCAGTCTAGTGCAGACAAATAGAAACTCGGAGCCTTTCATAAACATTTGGCAAAAGAAAATAATCTCGTTCTAAAGAAATAAACATCTATAGACTACAAGGCACGTTTAAGGGCCATAAATTAGGTAACCAACCGAAGAGGCTGACTCCATAAATATGTAATTCAAGTCGACTGGCAACATGCTAAATTTTCAATTTAACAAGATTTAGTTTTCACGTGTTTATCTGAAAGCCAGAAGGTTTAAAAAATGGAAGGTGATATTCTATCGATTGTATCGACTGTACAGTACAGTCGATACAATCGATAGTACCGAATATCACCTTCCATTTTTTAAACCTTCTGGCTTTCAGATAAACACGTGAAAACTAAATCTTGTTAAATTGAAAATTTAATGTGTAGTACAGTCTGTACTACACATTAAAAAAGAAATACAACAATATAATTTACCTAATTCATTTTATTCAAAGTTAAAAAGTATGTAATCTCTACCTGTAGGGTTTTTATAGGAGAGGACAGATGGTTGTGCACCTTACTCCTTCAGCAAGGCTACCGAGTAGAATACTCGGCGGCTTCGGACTCTTATACTCACTGTCCAGAGGGATTCAACGAGTTCTACAATCAGAGGCGAAGGTGGATGCCGTCGACGACAGCGAACATCATCGATTTGCTGCAAGATGCCAAGCACACGGTCAAAATAAACGACAACATCTCGCAGATGTACATTTTCTATCAGGTCGTCATGCTGATTGGTACTGTGCTGGGTTCTGGTACCATTTTCCTGATGCTGGTGGGTGCCTTCGTCGCGGCCTTCAAGCTGGATCAATGGACAAGTTTTGGTTACAACTTGGTGCCTATTCTTGTCTTCGTTATTATATGTGCAACGTGTAAAGCAGACACTCAGGTATGTTTTATTGGGGATGGTACTCTGTTGTAGTACAATGTTCATATTTTAGTTATTTTTTGCTGGTCTTATAAGCGCTGTATACGGTCTGATCATGATGGCTGTACTTGTTGGAGTTTTACTCCAAATCAAAGACGACGGTTGGTTTGCTCCGTCCACGTTATTTTTCTTTATGATGGCCGGAGAATTTATAGTAACGGCTTTACTACATCCTAGCGAATTCTACTGCCTCAAATACGGCGTTATATACTATGTAACAGTACCTAGTATGTACATGTTGCTGGTTATTTACTCTGTATTTAACATGAACAACGTTTCCTGGGGTACTAGAGATGTGACTGTCGAAGAAGAAGAAGAGGTACCATACAATGGTAGCATCAATCCTAAATATAATAAAATAATGTTTTAGGAGGATAAGGATGAGGATAAGGAAGAACAAGACAAGAACGCTAAAAAAGATGAAAAGAAAATTTTCTCTTATTTTGGAGCAGACAACGACCAAGATGCTGGGTCTATAGAATTTTCTTTTGCAGGGTTGTTTAAATTAATGTTTTGTACACACAAAAGCAAAGATAATGAACAACTTATCCTAATACAGACAAAACTGGAAATGTTGATGAAGAAACTTGATCATATAGAAACGTAAGCAGTTAAAACCAAATAGAACTCAAAATTGCTTCAGAGAAAACTTCTTAAGCCATCTGAACCTTCAAAATACATTTTATTTTTTTTTAATAAAGTTTTCTTTAGATAAATATTTTATTCATCGTTTTGATCATAAAACGAGTTCTTGGAGGGAAAAATAGGCAAAGTAGTACTACTTGTAGATGACATAAGGAGTTTTGTTGTAAAAATTATTTCTTAATGCAAAAAACGCGTTTTTTCTAGAATTTCTCAAAAGTAAGAGCAATTTTTTTGTAGTGTTAAGTTGGAAGAAAAAAATCCTAAAATCGATGAACCTGCTAAACCAGCTGAAGTACAAGGAGATACATTATCCATAGATTCGTACAACTTCAATCGGTGGATGGAGACCGAACTTTTGGATCAAAGCAAAACGAAATTGTTGGATGAAGACGAGAAAAACTTTTGGAATCAATTGATCGAAAAATATCTACATCCTTTGGATGAAAAAAGCAAAGCAGTAAGTATTTGGACTTCTATTTTTGATCAAACAATTGTTCATATTTTTTTTGTATTTCAGAAAGAGTTAACAAAAAGTTTAAACGACCTAAGAGACAAAACAACCTTCACCTTTTTCATGATTAACTCCTTATTTGTTTTGGTCGTATTTCTACTAACTCTGGAAAAAGATATGCTTTACTTGCCTTGGCCTTTAGATCCCAAAGTTAATTTTACTTATCAGGAAAACATAGAAACAGTAAGTTTGAAACAAACTTGGCAATTTGCATTACAAATATTTCCTAAACAATTTTAGATTGAAATAAATATAGATCCACTGAAATTGGAACCAATAGGATTCGTATTTTTGATATTTTTCTTCCTTCTATTAGTCATACAGTTTGTGGGCATGTTTGTCCACAGATTTGGAACTTTTACTCAAATCATGTCAAATACAGATATTAGTTTTGCTAACGTAAGTACCTTAATAACATGAGATTACCTAGAATACTGTTTTTTTTAATTTTAACTTTTTAATAATTTTTCAGGAAGAAACGGAAGAAAAAAATATCAACGACGCAATTGACGCAGCAACAAAAATAAGAAAAGAAGTAGAAAAAGTCGATCGGAGAAAAACCATTAAAACTTTGTTGGAAAAACCCGAAATGGCACCTGTAACCAGTTTAGAAGACGCGTTTGAGAAAAACTGGGATTATAACATGAATAAAAGTACCTACCTACGTTTTATATTAACAAATACTTATATTACCTTATAACTAAACTTCACCTTATATCTAAAACTTCACTTTCAGACCCTGATCCAGTTATTAGAAGAAAAACAGTGTTGGCTGGGAAAAGACCTGATACTATTTATCACGAGGCGTTAAAATCCGAAATGTATTCCAACGAGTGCGCATGACCGCAAGCAGATGTAAAGTAACATAACCTCAGTTTTTTTTGTCGTAACTTGTTTTTTGTCACACAATTGTTAAGTTATAGAAAATGCCGGTTAAGTGTAATATTTGTTGTAAAATATATAGCGCACACAGACCTAGGTCTGTGATAGCGCACAATTTAATTTAAACAAACATCATAGAAATGTGCATGGCAAATTACGTCATAATTATAATCCGTTTTTGTTCCCCGAACGTTTAATATTTGACAACAAGCTAGATGGCTCAGATGGTAGGGCGGGCGCTTTGCATGCGAGAGGTCCCGGGTTCGATACTAAGAACTTTTTTTATTTTTTTATTTCATAAATTTGTTGTTTCTTTGTTAAACAGTGTTCGGTTGGGTTGGTTGGTTTGTTTTAGTTTTATCGTAACATAAAATCTACTAGAAGTTGTCGAACTTTTTTTATTTTATAAATTTGTTGTTCCTTTGTTAAAGTGTTTTATTTTTATCGTAACATAAATTTGCCCATTTTAGTTGGGTTTTTTGCTCAATGGGGCGGGAGGGGGCCAATGGGGCGGGGTCGGTTGGGTTGTGTTGTTGAGTTTGGGTTGCTTTGGGTTTATGACGTAATATATAATTTCGCTGCGGTGAGATGGAATACATTTCGGATTTTAACGCCTCGTCTATTTATCAACGTCGCTCAGTGATGCCAAATCGACTCTCCCAATTTCAACGAAACGCAAGCTCGTTACCCGCAGAATACGCAGAAAGTAATTAATTAATTTACCCTGTTATTTATTGTTTTATATGTGTGTGTTTAAATAAACTTGTAATTTATTAAAAATCGTTTTATTTATGATTGTACAATTAAACTACCCATGGGACATTACGCCTACTTTAGACGTCAAAACATAACCTATAAAATCTACGTGTTATTCACTAAAAAATCGTCTGATTCTATTATTTGTTTAACAATGCATTAATATACAATAAAATCATGGAGGAGTTCTTGAAAATCAAATGGTAAGTGCATAAAATTCTGTCAAAACCGTAGAATTTAAATAGAATGCTTTCAAGGACCATTGATGATCCTTCCGAGTTGGAAAAACAACCAGAATTTATAAAAGAAGAGGTTTTATCGCAATCTCTCATTTATAAAAATTTCGACAAGCCTATTAAAGAGTTGTTTGTGAACCCTCTTAAGAAAAACAAGAAAGTCCTTACTGTTAATGGTAAAAAATGTATTCCTGGGGAACAGCATTATTTTGAACATAAAGAATTTTCTTTTTTGAATGAAAAACAGCATGAACATTGTTTGAAGGCTTATGAGTTGTTAAGAAGTGGTAAAAGTCCTGCTGACTATTCAGAAAGTGAAACATTTTTCATTAACACTTTTAATGTAAGAAAATATTTTATTTATTTTTTTGTGTTTATTTTTTGTAATTTACAGGAGTTAAAACCCAAAATAATACAAGAAAATGAGTTGTATCAGAAAAAGTGCATGGCATTGTGGAAAAATAATGTGGTTAGTTTAAAACCTGTAAATTGTTCTAATAATAATTACACAAAATATATTTGGACTGAACAATGTAACAGATACTTAAATTATGGACCAAAATTCAAGGAAATTTCGTCGATTAGTTTAACATACACAGAGGAAGATGGAGCAGTGGAATATAAATGTTTGAGCAACATTTTGGAAGTGGTATTCATAAATAAATTGATGAATTTGGTTTTTTTGTTAATTTTTGTTGTCTAGGGAATTTTGGCCAAATTCACACATCCCAGTTTTAAAACTAAATGTTTATTGCCGACAAATAGTTTGCCTAGGCAAACTGCTAAAATGACATCTCAGTTAGAAGGTAATATACAGTATGTGTTATTATGATTTAAAGATTAAAAGGGTCGAGTACAATTGCACTGGTTAACCATGTTTTTTTAGAATTTAAAGTTAATTTTATTTGACATTTTATATGACATCTGGCAACTGTCAAGCGGTTTTAACCTTACCTTTAGCAATGTGACATCTGTCAGATGGGTTAACCTTACTTTTTTCCAATCTGACACCTGTCAAAGGTTTTAACCTCTCTCACACCCTAATTTTATTTATTATTATTTAATTTTAGTTAGTAAGGACAAACATATAAAAAAATTGTTGGAACATCATAAAATTGATGTGGTTATTTCGAATGGTGGATTAAAATGTTTAATGGATAATACTAATCCTAAATCTATTTGGGATATACCCATACTTGTAAAGGAAATAGAAATTAATCAAGGTCAATATAAAAAAAATACCTATGTAAAAAAATTTAAAATTGTCATTTTTTATTTTTTAGATTGCAAAACTTTTAAGAAAAAAGTTGTATTTATAGACAAACCCTTACCTATTAAAACACCAAATAGGCTTGATATAATAAATATTTGTATGAAAAAATTGATCAAGACAAATTTGTGTGAATATGAAGCATTTCAGTAAGTTACATGCAATTTTAATTTTAATGAAAAATATTTTATTTATTAATGTTAATTTTAGGTATCCTGTACCAGATATACCTGCTGATATGAATGCTGAAGAAAGAAACAAACTTGGTAAATAAAAATTTAAATATTTTTTTTTCATTGCTTAAATTATGTGGATATTTTAGAGCATCAAGGAAATGTAGAAAAAAAACGCATAATCCACCATAATGCGCAATACAGACTTTGGAATATTAAAAAAGTAAAAAATCAACATAATTTATTAAAAAATACTAATGAAGATTCAAATATAAACTTGTTAATAAGAAGTAAGCTTACTGGTTGTGAGGTATTTTATTTATTAATATAATATAATAGTAATCAAAAAATGTTTTATCTAATCTTTTAAGATTGGTGAAAATGGGGCCTTAATGCCAGTAATATTAAGACCAAAAACAGAGCAACAATTAAAGTTGGGCGCAAATATACCATCAAAATCAGATCTCTCCAGGGAATGGACTTCATTATTTTTCACGCCATATTCAAACCTATACAGGGGTACCAAAATTATTATAAAAAAATAAATAAATTAAGCCAAACGTCAAATTTCAGCGCGGGTAAACACCAACCCAGCGGAACTGGTGAAAATCGAAAAATGCAGCATACAAAAAGTTGTCAATGAAGCCTGGGTTCATTATAAGTATAAGCCCCATTTCGGACTTGGAGTTTTGCAGAAAATATTGGGCGAGCTTTTAAAACTTGATTATGGAGAATATTTATTACATCATGTGCCCAAAAGTGGGGCTTTTGCTAGCTTAATGAAAAAATGCGACGAAAGGTATCTCAGAAACTATGAAAATTTGACAATTATTATAAAGTAAGACCAACTAATCAGAGCAGTGCATTCTCCATAGTACACTAGGTGCAATAAAGGATGTTATGTTCTGATTGGTCGCAAATTTCAATAGACACCCCCATTTTTTAGTGCACCTGATGGTTTAAATTTAAGTAATTTATTTGAAGAAAGAAATGTGGATTTAACTCTGGATAATATTCCTTGGCTTCCTATTGATGTAAATTTTGTTTTGCCCGTTTTAGAGGCTAAAAATAGATTACCAGCCATGTTTACGCCATTAAAACCTCGGAAAGATTTTTTTAAATTCAAAAACAAAGGTAGGTATTTGGAACAAGTCTAATTTTAAAGGGATTGCATATATATATTTGGATTTTAGGTAAAAAGAAAAAAGGAGTAAAGAAAAGCGGGTCAAAACAATAAAAGGATGTATAAATAATTATTTATTTTTTACAATGTTTAAGCATAACTAAGAATTATCAAAATACAACTAGAAATGTTAAAACTTTTATTACTTATACCAATATTTTCAAATTAAAAATTTACAACAAAATGATGAATTCCAAAGGAGTTAATAATAAAGTTTTATACAAACCACAATTGATTAGTTATTTGTAAAATCCCCAAAAAAACTAAAAATATGTTAATTATTTACATTTTAACATGTTCTTTTAGTACTGAAATAATGCCAATTTTTATGGTTATTGAGGAAACTGTTATATTATCAGGTAAATTTTTATGTAGGAAAAATACAGTCTGTTTATTTTATATTTTGTTTAATTATTAAGTAAAATATAAACCTAAGACAACTTTTTAGCCTTCTGATAAAGTGTATCTACCACTTTACTCATACTCTGTATTGTTTCTAAAGCCATTTCATATGTTTTATCTACTGGAGTTTCTTCAAATACAATAAGCACACCTAAAACAAATATATACTTAGAATAATTTGAATTGTAAAAATAATACAAAACAATACACAATGCAATGACTCTATAGCAAGCTATATATTAATAATTATAATTGAATAAAAAAGCATTTTAATTATTTGGTAATCATTTAATATAAGCTACATTGTGTACCTTAATTATTTAATTGCATATATTTTTAAAAGTCAAAGTGGGACTTCTGGAATATAAATAATTTAGGTTATGTATCTGTCAGTTAAACGCTAATTTTGGGGCATAGTATATACAATTATATTCGGCGAATGTTTTTTAAAATAAAACGTTTTTAAAATTTTAAAAACTCTCAAATTTATTTGTTTTTATTAACAATCATATAGCTCAAAATTTGTATTATTAAATTGAGTGAGTAGGTTTTAGCTTTTTGTTAATTTTACTTCTTGTTTTGCATACCTATTAGTTACTTTTTTTATTTATGCTTGTCATTTTAGAAAATGGTTTTTATCATGTTTAACTTGTCATTCTAACCTAAATATTTATTATTGTATGTCATTGATATTATTTAAGTTTGTGGTATTTTAGCCATAAGGTCATTTAAGCCAAAGATTATTATCTTTGATTTAAGCTTCTTATCAGTATAATTTTTTCTTGTTAGCTTGTTTGGGTTTTAAGTCATTTTATCATATTAGTTGATGTAGAATGAATAGTTAGATATTAGCTATTTATGCAGAAAAATATAGTAATTAATTACCACTAAAATTTTTTTTTTTAAATTAAGAAATAAATAAATTTATATTAATAATATTTGAGAAATGCTTACCTTCTCCTTGATCCAAAATTCCATGAAATTTAGCATCTAAAATCATCTGTGACAACTTCTTCTCAACTTGTGGCATTGGAAGCTTAATAGTTTTAGCAACATAATCGACCTGAACTCTTGAATAAGGCTCGATAATCCTACACAGATTCTGTTCAAGCATGTTATCGTACAATGTACCCAGATGTGCTCTCACAATAACATCGTCTTCCAACTCATGCTTAAACTGCTTGACACCCTGCTGAAAATCAGCCAGAGACCTTTTGTGGGATGCTTGTGCCACAGCTTTCATGGCATCAATATCACGACCGGCATACTTTATTGCTAATTTCCCGCTGACAATTTGTTGCACGTCTTCTGGGTTGTTGAGCATTATTTTTGAGAGCAGCATGTATTTCAAGGCTGTTAGAGCTTTCGGTGATTCGACACTGTCAAAACCCTCGAACGCTTCGTAAAAGTATGAATAGGCAGTTTTAAAATCCTTCTCGTCAGCTGCATGCAGAATTCCTGATTGCAAATCAAGGGCGGCTTGCATTTTGGGGGGGCAATAGATTGCGTTGGCGGTGGTACGAGCGGAAGTTAAAGCGGCACGGGCCTTAGGTAAATTGCTTAAAGCATGATAGGTTTTGCTTTCTAACAGTTGCACTTCAACTAACAAATTCTTGTCATCTAGCTTTTTGAGTTCTTTAAGTAGAGTTGATCCTAACAGCAGAGCCTCTGCAAACATACCGGTATCGAAATATAGGGCTATTAACCTCGCCTCAAGTGACTGACGGAGGAAAGTCCTTCGTTCCTCCTTTGCCCATTCTATGCATTCTTTACACAGTTGCACTTCTATACCAATGCCAGCCTCCAAGTCCAAGAAGAAGTCGACCAAAGATCTAACCAGTTTAGCAGCTTTGGCCTTGCTTATTTCCCCCAAAAACGGTCTTGTGGCCTTTATTAGTTCCGCGAGTTCCTTAGCCTTACCCTCTTTTTTATACTTCTCGCCCAAATTCAGGATGTCCTGCTCCTTATTTTTGATGTTTTCTTCATCGTCGCGTTCTTCTTGTTCGCGTTTCAGGTTTTCCAGAAGTTTATCGTGGTGCGAAGAAACAGATTGCGCTCTTTCAAACAACATCGCGCCCGCCATATTGGTTAACTAGAAAAGCACTGTCATCAAACAGACATGTCTGCGGTGAGTGGCCGAAATTTAACGGTGTCTAAGGTCGCGCTCACAATGACATTTGAACTATTTTGCAAGAAAACATAACGAAACCACAATTATACGGCCTAATTTAACGATTTAAACCACACAACAAACTTATTTATTTGTTCTACTTACCCACACATCATTGTGAACGTCTGATTTAGATTTTGAAAAGACAACGAAAATTTTGAAACAAACCAAATGTCACTTTAGACACTTCAAGTCGGTGACTTGATTTTTTGAACGCAAATAAACCCAGTGTTTTCGTCTGTAATTTCCAGAATTCTTTGTTCCTAATGCGCAAAAATTTTGTTGTTTATTTTACAATAAAATATTGCGTAGATATTTACCTGCTCAAAACAGGTTTTCAATCTTTATCGCACGAAAAATAGTAAAAAATGTTTTAATTGTTAGGAAGCTTTTTATTTCAATAATGTTAACTTTTGCTTTTAGTCATTTTAGCTTGTTATTAAAATTGTTTTAATTCAAATAAAATACTACAGAGATCATTGATTGCAAGTTTTAATACAAAAATAAAATAAACCCCATTTTTTTGACAATCAAAAATAAAAATAAATAAATCCAAGAGTAATTTTTGTAATTTAATGCAAAAATATTTACAAATAAAGATGCCGTGTAAGCATTTCAAATCCACAACAATTTTGCGGCAACAACTTTCTAAAATAAATAAATTAACGAAACCCCGTTACTCAGGGTTCGGCAACCGGCTAGACAGTGCGACAAATATCAAAATATGGGAAGTGGATGTGCCACGTTATGTTTCTTTACGGCCGTGTGTTTTTTGATTTTGTGCCTGCCTGAGACAAATTTCGCCCAACAGGCGACTGCACCATGGTACGAAAATTTACCAGCGGTCGCTATGGACTACAAGGTCCACATAGACCCTGGCAAAGAGGACTGTTATTTTCAATATGTTAACCCTGGAGCCACTTTTTACGTCAGCTTTCAAGTAAGTTTCAAGCGATTGTGTGTTGTTTTATGTTCAATTATTGAAATTAAACCGATAACGCGATTGTTATCATTTAATTACTTCAGTTTTTATTGGTTTAAAGTTATTTTAAGGTTATACCTACTATAAAGTGTTTTTCTAAGGAATTAGTAAAAAACATGTTATTAATTAATATTCATATTCATATTTTTACATATTTAAAAGTATACTTTTAAATATGTAAAAATATGAATTTATATTGAAAATTATATAAAATTAGGTAAAAATAAATTACTATTTATACCTTGGATAAAATAATAATAATATTAATTTTAGGTAGTTAGGGGTGGAGATGGTATGGCTGGTTTTGCCGTGCGTCATCCAACAGGTACAATAGTGCACCCCTATCAATGGAAACCCAATAGCGAATATCAAGACCAAAGTTCGACAGGTGGTTATTACTCTGTCTGTATTGATAACCAATTTTCGAGGTTTGCTGGAAAATTAGTGAACATTTATATTACTGTTGTGAGATATGATATGTGGGAGAAGTATACCAAGGAAATTGAGCAACTTAATATGGATATGGAAAACTTTACGGTAAATACATAAAAATATACAAAAAACACAATTAATTTAAATTATTGCTTTTTAGACTGCAATTGTTGATGTGGAAAGAAATATAAATGAAATGCTGCAGTATCAGCATTATTCCAGAGGTAGAGAGGCTTGGGATTTAAACTTATTAGAATCCAATAATTCTTATGTTATTCGTTGGTCTTTAATACAAATCGTCGTAATTGCTGCCACTACGGCTGTACAGGTTTATTTTGTAAGGAAATTGTTTGACCTTAAAAGTGGAGGGGGTGGAAGGGGAAGATCTGGGATTTAAGTTGAGGTTATGAGATTTGTTCATTCTAGAGAATTGTTTTCTGCATTGCATTTATCTATGACCTTATAAGGCTGAAAATTTTGATCTTTATTTTTTATTGTAGTAAATGTCCTGAGTATAAAACTTGTGCCAAGTTGGTATATTTTATTTTTTCCATTGAATTTCTCTCTAGTATTATTTATTTTGTGTTTTTTGTTAATTTTTTTAAATAGAGTATTTTAAATAAAAGAAAACCTGTTGGAATGTAATTTATATTTTAATATAATACCTATATACATTTTGTTCATGTTATAACAACTTTTTATAAAACTTTAATAAAATATACAACATTTTATCACTACCTTCATTGTCTATTATTTTAATACACATAAATATTATTAAATACTAATAAAATTATTTCGCTTTTAAATAATTTTCTGAAAACGCCAATAAACGGTATCTTTGCTTTAGATTTCTTGCCCTTACATGGGGGTTGGCAATTTCTACTGTATAGTTTGCTGGGAACCACCCAGTCTGGCCATCCCTTATTCTTTCTCCATGGTACCAACCTAAAAAAAAATGTTTTGTTAAACTAAAAAAATCGTACAAAAAACTTACCGTCCGCCATTTTTCTGAGCACGTTGATGACGTCACCGCGCACCACTGGCAACTCGTCTGGTTGGCTGGCGGTGTAGTTGTGCACCGCCGTCACCTGGGGGCAGTCCCAGCACTCGTAAAGGGTTTCGTCGGGGTTTTCCGATTTTAGAGGCGACAGAGCCTCCATCCAGCGTTCTCGGTCGCTCTCGCTATTGCACGATAACATCTGCGAAAAATTCGTAATTTTACATTTTTTAATTTAAGTATTCATTGTTAATCAAATCTTTATACATAATTTTGTAGTAAATTGAATTCTCTACAAAAAAGGACTGATGTGTTTAAGCGATTACTCTAACCATTTAAAAGATGTTCAAGATTAAAGTTGACGAATTTATTTAAAAAAAATAGTTTTTTAATAACTTTGGAAAAGATTCTCATTGAAATAAAATTCCCATTAGATCAAATTTTCACTGGATAAAATTTCCATTGGACAAAATTTTCATTAGATAAAATTTCCATTGGATAAAATTTCCACTGGATAAAATTCCCATTAGATAAAATTTCCACTGGATAAAATTCCCATTAGATAAAATTTCCATTGGATAAAATTTCCACTGGATAAAATTCCCATTAGATAAAATTTCCACTGGATAAAATTCCCATTAGATAAAATTTCCACTGGATAAAATTCCCATTAGATAAAATTCCCATTAGATAAAATTTCCATTGGATAAAATTTTCATTGGATAAAATTTCCATTAGATAAATTCCCATTGGATAAAATGTCCGTTGGATAAAATTTTCATTATATAAAATTTCCATTGGATAAAATATTCATTAGATAAAATTTCCATTGGATCAAATTCCCACTGGATAAAATTTTCATTGGATACAATTTCCATTATATAAAAAAACTTTTATACTTACAAATTCAACAGTCTTTTCATCTTGATTCTCCAACAGAGACAAAAATATTAAATGCCTTCCCTGAGAATCCTTGACAGGCAAAGAAATAACATCGGAACTGTTAATTTCCACCAAATTTCTCGGACAATACTGTATCACATTGTAAGAATTATCACTGAAAAAAGCACAAATAAAATATATAACCCGTCAAAAAAACCATCTACGCCTTACTTCTTCGTTTTGCACACGAACAAAATATCGTTGAACAAAAACAAGTTCAGCGGCACTTTGTTGAAACGCTTTCCGAAAGTGAGCTTCGAATCGTCGTTGCGCGGTTGCATGTGCGTCACGTTGCCAGATCGCACCAGCCATCTACCGGATTCGAAGACTTTGATTGGCCTCACGCCCTTCGCGAATTCCAGCTGCGACGCGATCTTTTTCATTTCTATCACTCGTTCCGTGGTTCGGGCGGCTTCGTTGCATTGAATGACAATCTGGAAATTAGATAATACAGGTTTGTTTCTAAGAAATAGAATTATTTCTACAGAACATTTGGACGGCCCAATACAAAAATATGGTTATGTTTTAGCGTTCTTTAGTCAATGGTTTTAGCGTACGCTAAAGTACGATACACAAAAAATGTTAGCATGCATATATTTTACCCTAGCCTGCCCCCTGAACAAAATCCTGGCTACACCCTTTCTGGAAATAGGGCAAGAATCCCTGCTTTTCTAAAAATTAAATTAAACCCAATGAAAAAAATTATGCATACCTTATACACTTTGTTTTTTAAATAATTTATATTGAAAAATATATATATACACAAATTTTAAAAACTGTTACTTTATAAAGCAAATTTTAAAATTTAACTGTTGCAGATCTAATCCAGATTTTTTTACCCTGTGTATTTTATTTTAAAAATAAAAATATTGTTTCAGAGCATATTTTTACGAAGGCGTAGAAGGGCCAACAACAATATTTTTTTTTTAATAAAATTTTTAATCGACAATTGTCGATCGGACCGACAATTGTCGATCGGACCGACAATTGTCGATCGGATCGACAATTGTCGATCGGACCGACAATTGTCGATCGGATCGACAATTGTCGATCGGATCGACAATTGTCGATCGGATCGACAATTGTCGATCGGATCGACAATTGTCGATCGAATCGACAATTGTCGATCCGATCGACAATTGTATATATACAAAGTGTTTTTCATTCGTGGTCCATTAGAAGTTTTTGGGAAACGAAAAAGATATTGAATATTTTTCGAATTATTATTTTTTTTCGTTAAAATTTAAGAAATGCGCGTCAATCAAAAATAGCCTATAACTTTTTTGTTATGAGGTTTGCAAATATAGGGTTGGAATTTTTGGAATATTAAAAAAATTAGGCCAAATTGAAGGTTAATAACTTTTTTATTTCAAATGTAACACTTTGTATGTTTTTACATATTCAAATAGTAAATTAAAAAACATTTCGATTGATGTTACTATTCCATATACCTAAAGTTAATAATTTCAGAGATTTCTAAAATTTTACATATTATTTTGTATCACGAAACCTGTGACGGGTGAGTCGACGGTTTCTATCCGAGACTGGTTTCTATGGTTACCACGTAATTTGTAAAATTTAATCGCGTCAATTTTTCAGGTCTTTATCTCTGGTTGTTATAAACAATTTGTTAACTAATTATAATATAAACACTTATAAGTGTTTAAAAATTAATAATTCGAAAATTTTTAAAATAATATTAGGTAGGTAATAATATTTAAGTTGATCTGGTTTAACCGGAAGTGGCATTTTGTTCAAATTATTATAGAAAAATAGACTTAAATGGATTATAAACGCTTTTAAAATTTCAAATCGATATCTTTTTTCGTTTCCCAGAAAATTCTAATGGGCCACGAATGTGAAACACCCTGTATATATACAATTGTCGATTCGATCGACAATTGTCGATCCGATCGACAATTGTCGGTCCGATCGACAATTGTCGATCCGATCGACAATTGTCGGTCCGATCGACAATTGTCGAACCGATCGACAATTGTCGATTAAAAATTTTATAAAAAAAAAAATATTGTTGTTGGCCCTTCTACGCCTTCGTATATTTTTAATTATTTGTCCAATAAATATTAAAAATGATAAAAACAATTTGAACCAAAAATATAAAAAAATATTTTCATACACTGTGTTGTTTTTACCTATAGGGTGTATTTTCTTATAAAATGCCTTTTAAACTTGTATTATTGGCAAAAACTATTAATAATATTATAATATGTATATTATGTTTAATAGTATATTTCTGGGCCCAAAAATAGAGTGAAAATTTCCTCAGAAAAAAAGTTCCCTCTACCTTGTTAAGCCCTTTATCCAAAACGTACTGTTTCTATTTGAAGAGCAAGCACATAATTTAAAAATTTATAAATTTATATATATATATATGTATAAGCAGAAAATAAGTTGAACATGGTCTAAAATTCAAATTTAAAATGTCAATGTATAGAAATAGACTTTTTTGGGAAAATATAAAATAATTACCCAATTTATTTTATAAAACAAAAGTTTTTAAAGAAAAATACTGCGTTGCCATGTCGTGTAAAAACCTATATCCACTGATATGCTAAATCAGTTGATATAAATAAATCAACGTTTCTGCATACGGCCCTTAACCTAGTATTTTTATTCTTTACTTACTTTGTTAAGTGTTGCCAGGGCGTATTGGCATGATATGTATTCAGGGTCTTGTTGAGATAGTCTTTTCAAAACAGCGTCTAAAAGTAGCGGCCATCTTGTTATTCTTTGCATGGGCAGCATTAAAAATGAGTATAGTGTAAGTGAATGACAGGTGGAACTCATCTCCAGTTTGACTAGTATTTCTTGGAAAGCTGGTTTATCTCTGTTAAATGGAAAAAATGTTAATAAAGTGTTAATTAAGTAAAAAATCCACCTACTTTAATTTTTTTAGCGTCTCATCAATGAAAATTTGATTGCCACAATAGGAAACATAAACATCGAAATTGTCTTCTGCATGTTTCTGTATAATTTCGCATATCCCTGGTAGTAAAACATTATCTTGCCAGCAAGTCTCCAGGTCTTGCAGCAATTTTTCTGAACAATCCCTTACTAAAAAAAACAACCATAAAAAAAAATACTTTTTTTGTTTATTGTTCTTACCATCAACAATCTTCCCAAACAACTTCGCCTTCTCTTCATCGCCAATCAAATCACTTTGCATCAAGTTGAACACGAAATGATCATCCAAAACAGTGAGAGAATTCAAATAGGACGCCTCTGACGTCAGCATCTCGAACTTGGCTTCTTGCAGCTTTTTCTGGTGCAGACTCAGCGTGCTCAGAACGGAGGACTGAATCACTTCGGGCACTTCGCACCAGAGGGTGCGCGCGTACGCGAACGAGTTCCTTTTCGGCGATACCAGTTCCATGGCCGACGGGCGGTTCTTTTTGTGGCCCACTTCTTCGTATCCGTCCGAGTCGAAGTCCGAGACACCGTCGTTGCAAACCGACTAAAAAATACAAATCAATTTATTGAGCACGGTTTTTTAAGTTTACTTAATTTAATATGATGATAAGCTAAATGATGACAAGCTTAAATGATGACAATCTAAAATGATGACAAGCTAAAATGATGACAAGCTAAAATGATGACACGCTAAATTGATGACAAGATAAAATGATGACAATCTAAGATGATGACACGCTAAATTGATGACAAGCTAAAATGATGACAAGCTAAAATAATAGCAAGGTAAAATGATGACAAGTTAAATTGATGACAAGCTAAAATGATGACAAGCTAAAATGATGACAATCTAAGATGATGACAATCTAAGATGATGACAAGCTAAATTGATGAAAAGCTAAAATGATGACTAGCTAAAATGATGACAATCTAAAATGATGACAAGCTAAATTGGTGACTAGCTAAAATGATGACAATCTAAAATGATGACAAGCTAAAATGATGACAAGCTAAAATGATGACAAGCTAAAATGATGACACGCTAAATTGATGACAAGATAAAATGATAACAAGCTAAAATGATGACAATCTAAGATGATGATAAGCTAAATTGATGACAAGCTAAAATGATGACAAGCTAAAATGATGACAAGCTAAAATGATGACAAGCTAAATTAGTGACAAGCTAAAATGATGACAATTTAAAATTATGACATGCTAAATTGATGACAATATAAAATGATAACAAGCTAAAATGATGACAATCTAAGATGATGACAAGCTTAATTGATGAAAAGCTAAAATGATGACAAGCTAAAATGATGACAAGATAATATTATGACAAGATTAAATGATGACAAACTAAATTGATGACAATCTAAAATGATGACAAGCTAACATAATGACAAGATAATATGATGACAAGTTAAAATGATGACTAGCTAAAATGATGACAAGATAATATGATGACAAGCTAAAATGATGACAAGATAATATGATAACAAGCTAAAATGATGACAAGCAAAAATAATGACAAGCTAAAATGATGACAAGTTAAAATGATGACAAGCAAAAATAATGACAAGCTAAAATGATGACAAGCTAAGAAGAACCTTTCTTGTACATGGAGGTATGACTATATGCTAAAATGACAGCAAGCTAAAAAGGTTAAAAACTACAAAAAATAAGCTAAATAAATGGTGACAAGGTAAAGGATGACAAGCTTAAATAATGACAAGCTAAAATGATCACAATTTAAAATAAAGCTAAAAGAACAGCTAAAATAACAAGTCAAAATTATAACAAGCTAAAAAGTATTGGTATAGGAGTGGGGATTAAATCGAAATACATCAAAAAGTGATATTTGATTCGGATTACGAATGGAATATTTGAACTATTCAAATAGTTCATTTTTAACATTTATCTTCTTTATTTCTGATATCTGTAATCTGCCATTTTTGACGTTTTTCATTATTAAAATAAAGACCTGACCCTACTTAAAAGGTTAGAGGTCGATAAAAAACTACAAGCTAAAAGGAAGAAAAGCTTAAATTATTATGACAAGATAAAATAAAGATCAGCTTATAGAACAAGAAAAAGTGATTAAAAGCTACAATAAAAAATAAGCTAAATTGATGAAAAGTTAAATTGTTAAAACGTTAAACAACAAATATCTAAGTAAAAAATTGGTATGGGTTTTTTAATTGTAAGAAAAAATCTTACCTCAAGAACTGCAGCATCGTAAAATTGATACAAAGGCTCATCTTGCAACTGCAAATGTAAAAACTGATAGAACCCGCTTTCATCCTTTTTACTTTCATCGTTGTCCTCCTTCAAAGTATCCTCATTTCTCATGTTATAATACTCCTCGTCTTTAAACTTCTCCACCAAGTCGGTGTTTATTATTTCCACCGTTTTGTAGTTGAGATTTTTGTTGGTGTTGCTCCCGCTATTTTCCGCACTCGAGGTGCTGGGTGTACTTTGCGTTTGCTGGTACAGTCCCACTTCCGCGTACCAGAAAGTGTTGGGTTTTTTGGAGTTTTTGTGGCTCTCGTTGCGGAACAGGCCCGCTTCCGCGTACCACGACGACTTCCGGTCTCTTTTCTCAGTTTTTTTCTCTAAGAAGAGAGAAATTATAGTAGACTATTTTATGTGGATTATATTATTTCCTTACCTGCAGACAATCTCACAGGCGGTACAGGCGGTGGTGGACTTTGGGGGCGCACCAAAGGCCGCCCCTTTGCGTTCGGAAGGGGGGATAGTGATACCCCACTATCTGGATTAGCTTCTTCAGCCGTATCGATGTCGTCAACGTTTATAGTTTCGGTAAGATAAAACGTGCTTTTTGGCTTGTTTAAGTTCGATGTTAATTCGGTGGCAGAATCGGCTGACATCGACATGCTGCGTCGAAATTTATTCAGAAAACCTAAAAAGTGATTTTCGATAGAAAATATCACAAAATAGAATTTTTTTTAGAAAGATAAGGGTCATTATACTATGGGGTCGCTATTGTTATTTTGCGCGTTACAAACAAGAAGCGTTTGTTTTTGAAGGTTATATTTTCTCACGGCCAACCAATTTCTTTCTTTTTAATTAATGCATTTTTTTATGTTCGTTTATTATGGGGTATATGGAACTAAATAAAATAATGTAATATAATAATATATACCTTTTTTGGAAGCATTTTTTCCTTTTTCGTTACTTTCTCCATTCGTTTCCACATGTTGATAGGTACTATTGTTATTTTCACTTACAGAAGAATATCGTAGATCAGCTGTACTAGTTACAGTGGTATTAGCTGAAGACATTGGCGATTTGTCTTCATCTCTAAGCGTTATATCTAAAAAATTTAACAAAAATATTTCTATAGAATCAAAGAGATTGTTTTTTGACAACATTATACAGTTAAAAATTTGAGGTTTTCGACATTGTAAATATCAAAAAACCATGCTTAAATTATCATAATATAAGAATCCCAAACTCACCCATATTACTAAGATCAGTCCTTGATTTTCTTTTGGTCATCCATGTGATGGATTTGCTTATGTCGTTTTTGGTTAGAGACCAATTCCTCCTCAATTTTTTCATGTGTTTACCAGCCGACTGCGCCAATCTAGTTAGTACGTATTGGCCCCCATTGGGGGGCTCAGGCAATTGACTATTACCGATGTCTAAGCCACTGTCGTTCTGAAAAAAAAGTATTGTCATAATTTTGGTTTATTTTACTACCTACACTGAGAAAAATGTTTCGGTTAAAAGAAAATTGTATTTTGTGCAACGTAAAATGAAAAATCGCTATAAAAATTAGTATCATTAGTATCATTTTTAAAATCAAATTTAAATTACTATGGAAAATACTTTTGTAAAATAGTCGATTTCTCACAAAAATGCACTTTTGAACTATAGCTTTTTACAAAAACGACTTTTCAGTTTAAAATTTTAAATACTTTAAAATACTTAAAAAAATAATTAAATTTTTATTCTCATATATAACTTTTATTAGTAACGAAATTTTATGGAAAAAATTATAGTAAAACTAGATTTTTCTATACATTTCTCTCGTAAAACACATACAATAATAAAAAAAATTGCTAAGGTTATTTTGTACTTACTAGGTTGCCCTTACTATATGAATTTTCATATTCGGAATCGCTATCGAATGAATCATAATCGTCACAATATGTTTGATCTCCATTTTGATTGGTGTAAAGGGTTTCGTAGTGATGGTCAGATTCGCTATCTAAACCTGTAATAGTTTTAATACATATTTTAGTAAAAACAAATATATTTCGTACCAAGTTAAAATATAATTGATTATTTGATTAATTTTAGTTACGTTGAGTTTTGGTCAAGTAGATTGGTCTCAAAAAAGGTATATTTTGTCATTAATAATATATATATATTAATTGTTTTTTACACTATTTATTTATAAAATGCAAAATTTCAATTTTAATTTTATTTTAAACTTTTATTAATTTTTTATTTAATGATCCTAGTTCAATTTATTTTTTCGGAATTTAAAAACAATGACTGTTGTTTTTTTGGGACCACTTCCTTTGAAAATAAAATTTTAGAACAACCTCAATGATATATATAAATTAAAATTAAATTCAGTGTAACCTATTTATTCCTTTTTGCAAAAAGAGATAAAAGTTTTAGTTTAAATCATAAGAAAAGTCTTGGTATAATTTTGACACATTTTTGTTTATGTGTTCACACAAAAAAGTAAGAAAATAATTCTTATTCATTAAGGTATAATTATTTTAATTAAGCTTAATTATGTTTTTAGGGTTTGTTAAATTTACGCAAAAATTACAATGAACAATTAAATTATACATACAGAAATAAATCTGCAATAATTAATATTCCTTAACACAAAAATCAAAAATAAAAATACGAATATAACCAATTTTGTTGACAGTTCAAACCAGTAACAGCATATTTTAGTATAAAGTTCATAAAATTATGTTTTAAATTTTAGACATTTACTTAGTTTATTTAAGTAGTTTCTTAAACCCTGTTTTACCGTACTTTATGAAATATTATTATTTTTTGGTAAGAGGTTTTCCCACTCTTTTAAATCTGGTTACGCATTCTAATCCATATAATTGATCATGTTCCCTAATTATTAAAAATTTCACTTTATAGGTAAAATGTGAAATGCAGGAATTACGAATCTTTTGGTAGATATTATATTATAATAAAACTCACGGTTTAACAACAATGGTTGACAAATATAATATATATGTATATGTATAATTTTTAATGTAAGTTTGTGTTACGAAAGTTTTACCTAATTGTTTAATAATTGCATGTTTTAATTTGGAATTAGGAACTTTTGAAATGATTCACCATAAAAATTCGAATAGAAATGTAGACAGTATTGGCAAATCTGAAATAAATTACTTTAGGAAATATGTATCAAGGTTGCAGCCTTGGTACAGTTTAAATTGTTTAAGTCTATGGATCTAAGTTATACAAAAATGTATTTAAATTATAAAAAACATTAAATAAATTTTTTTATAAATAATGTAAAATAAAGTTTTGACCTAAAATATCAAAAATGAAAAAATGGAAATCAGGAAACAAAATATACAATATATATAATATAAAATATAATTTACCAATATAAAAAGAAATCTCCTGACTCTCCAAACTCTCCTCGAAAATCCTATTTCTAATCTTCGGCAAATCCTTGGCACTCCTAATCTCCTCCCCTCTCCTCTTATAGTCAACCTTATCACATTCATCTTGCTCACTAACACTACAATGACTAGATCTCGCGCTATTTTCGTCTACGAACTCAAAGTACACCCTAGTGGGCGAGGAAACGAAAACCTTGTCTCCAACGTTACGGCGCATGCAAATAGTGTTGGGCGCCGACCTAGGCGGCGCCACCGGCGACGCGCCATCGTGGGCGCCGATTTTGTGGCGCTTCTTGAAAGAGTTGCTCGACACCGAGCGCCTATGATGTTGTCGATGGTTATCACTTTGCATCTTTCATCGTTTCACTTTTAAAAAACTAGAATTTAGAATGTGTTTTTATGGTTTTTGTTGGTTTTTTACTATTGAATTAAATTGAGAAAAAATGAGGTTAAAACCGTTTGACAGTTGGCAGATGTCAGAAATAGAATTACAAATAAACATTACTTTGTATTTGTCGTAGATAAATGGTATGCCATTTGTTTTATAAACTTGTTTATTAAAAATTAGCTACGCTCGTGCATAATTAAATTTATAACTTCAAACATAAAATCTTAAACATCATTATTCATCAGACCAAAATCAATTTTTTACTAATTTATAATATTTTCAAAAAAATTTATATTAATCTTTGCAATAGCAATTAAAATGATAATAATATATTTCTCAATTATTATACTGAATTGCAAGATTCCATTATTAAAGGAAGTGTATGTAACATTTATGTATGTACTATTATACATGTATTCTAAGGCAGTAACTTTCTTTTTTAACTTGCTTTGGTAAATAAAAAAAACAGCTTAAACTTAGTAAGTAAATATGTTAATGTCATGAACATTATGTGTTGTAAACAAGCAATGAAAGTTGATGTGATTGAGTGTACATTTTTGTAGATTTGGAAATATTACATAAGTGGTATGTAACATTTATGTTTAAATATAATGAATTAATTTTTGTAATTATATATTTTTATCGTCAGCTCAGCGTCGGTAGTTTGTGAAATGTTTTCCTTCAAATATTAGAAATTCGTGAAAACAGATTTGAATAAAATTTGCATTATGTATGCGAAATTAACGTTATGGTTTGACTTTACATATTGTAAGTTCATTATAAACATAATCGTATTTTTATTTTTTTCCCTTTAGATAAAAAGCTCTGCTTCTCTGTAATTGGTGGAATAATTCGCTTCAACGCCAGCAGTGGTCAGTCACTGGCGTTGCATTATTATTAAAAAAAAATAATTTTAAGAATGATTTGGATACTTAAAATTTAACCTTGGTATATTGTGCGACTAGTGAGAGAAAAAGGAGATTCCTCGAGAGTGGATTTTGCCGCACGAGCGTAGCAAATGAGGTAAGACGTGAGTGGAATCTCCTATTATTTTATTTGACATTTTATCTGGCATCTGACAGCTGTCAATTAGTTTAACCTCACTTTTTTCAAATTTAACTTAAAGCTAACTTCAGCCTGTGGGTGAAATACTGTTTCGTCCACTAGTGGGATAAGTAAAATTTCTCCCACCAAGGGAGTTAAATAAAAAAAAATATTCGCAATGTTGTTAAAAATGCGTTATCATTTTTAAAACGGAAATAAACATGAACTGAGTAATCATCTATAGATTATCATATATGATTAGTGAGTTTATTTATAAGCAAAACTGCTTTGGAATATTTGTAAGTAAATAAAAAATAAATGCTAGTAACTTACTAGTAGTAAGTACTGCCTTGCAATTATTTGCAAAATGTTAATATAAACATTAAAATTTTGTTAAAATATAAAGTTCATTTTAATGTGTGAAGATTTTATTTAATGAAATATGAACCTTTTCAAAAATTAAGATTTTTAAAGTAAATTTTTTTAGTATATTTAGGCAACAACTGGTTTACTTGTTCAAGGCAAACATTAAACAAGTTCATAACAAAGCTATAAAAACCATAAAAACACATATCGAACCTTTACCTACAGCAAAAGTAACTAAAATAATCCTTTAAGCACAACAAAACACTAAAAACATTCCCGGAAGTCACGTAGCACAAGTGAACCAATTGTAAAACAAATACCACAACACCCAAACGAAAAATACTTTTGACCGGTTATTTGCAACAGACGTACTTCGCAAGACTAAAGAGCGCGCGCGTCAGTCTTCAATTACTCACCTCTACCGCAAAGACTTTCACTTTTTGATAGAACAGGTACTAAATAATAATCTCAATAATTAATAACACAATAAAGAACTATGATAGCTTGGAATGCGTATAACACTGTACAACACGTTAAAGTTTATTAAAGCCATTCGCAGTGGCGAACAGTGTTGCCGTTCAAGGGCGAACGAGCGGCAACGTGGCTCGATCCGGCTCGAAGGACCATTTAAGAGGACATTGGCAAACGTATGACATACGAAAAAGTCGACACGGAATGTTAACAGGTTTTGACGTCGCGTAGGCTGATGATATTGTGTGTGTGTTACACATAAATACATTGTAACAAAAGAATTGAATCGAATTGAGTCGTTTGTTTTCGTAGAAGTTTCATATTTGGATGACTTAAGTGAGTTTCAAGGTTGGACGGACACTAAAAAGTGGATCTATCTGGTGGTTAAGTTGTTTAAATTAAATAATTTAAACCAATAAAAATTGATTTTGTTTATTGTTACTAAAAAAAAAATGTGCTGTATAGAGTTGTACTTTTAATAATAGACAATTGAATTGTTTCGGAAAAATATTCCTCAAATTGTTATTTTTTAATGCTAGAATGCAAACAATGGTTTTAAATGCATATTAATATTATGTTATCCATTTAAGTACGTAAAAAGTACGAATACATGTTATCTTCAATCCAGTTGTTCTCAAAGTAAAAGTATTAAACATAATTAACTTTCATCATAACACCTTAAATAAGCCATTAAAAATATATATAACATTTTTTTTTATTTAAAGCAAATTTTAACTTCAAAAATACATTTCATCAACAACAAACATTTATCATTTTATAAAGATTCTTAGAAATATTGATTTTCCATTATCTGTATAATGTTGACATAATTTATCACTTGAAATAGAAAACTAGGTGGATCGATATATCATTTTCTATTTACCAAGTTAATGACCATATAAGTACCATATATACCTAAGAATATTGAAAAGAAATAAAATTACACAAAGCATAAATGCTTCCAATAGAATAGTGTTTGGTAATCATTCCCAAACTTTTAATAGGTATTTATTGAATATTTATTAATATATTGAGAACAGTTTTAATATAACTTAATATAAAGTATAATATTGTAAACTATGTTAATTTAAAATAAAGGAAATTAGACTATGATTTAAAATAAGCTTTAATTACTATTTAGAATAAAACAATCAAACAAAAACTAAAGTCTAGTGTATCTATCGAAAGGTTCTAATTGAATGCCCTGCTTTTCTTAAAAACGTATATTCGACACTTGCCGACGTCGCCCGCCTCTCTGCCAGACATAAACAAACAAATAACTTCGGAGGGCCATAAATTGTGGTCCTAATCGACGTGTTGACAACGTCTTGC